CACTGTACAGCTTTTTACCCAATGGCAAACAATTAAAGACTTGAAATATTGTTATTGTTATAATTCACATATATGACATAATTTATAATTTGGTTAAGGTTTTATTCTTCCTAGTGACCTTACACCTAGGAGATCCATGTGAATGTTTAGGGAAGAATCAGGGTTTTGGAGAGAACCAGCTTCCCTTCCTTCCTTTTGTCTTCACAGTATTTAAGAACATTTCAATGCTATTTCCATCTCAAACACCTTCCCAGGGTGCTGTAGAACCTCTAATGGAGAGGAAATGCCTCTGCAAGCAGCCTGCTTGCAACTGGCACTCCAGTTGGCACACAGCAATTTACCAAAAGGCCAGGGCAATATGAAGAGATGGAATCTGTCATGCAGCATTACAGCATCAAAGTCTCTGCAGTCACAGAAAAAACTGAAACTGTGTGGGCTCACCTGCTCTGTTCCTGACATTCCATATGAAGCTACATGAAACACACAGTCAGCCCCTTCACAGGCTGCCAATATGGCACTGTAATCCCTGATGTCTGTCTGTAATACATAAGAAAAGATATTTGGACATGAAATCAAAGCTGCAGGTGAGCATTTGTCATACAGTGGGAATCCATATATATAAAGCATATATAGAACTGTACCTGCTATACAAATATTCTGGGACTCAAAACTGGGCACACCTCACTACTTGCTGATAATTATACTTTTCTTCCATAGAACCCAAAGGACTTTAAAGACATTCATTAAGGTTCACAGGAGTCCTGTGTTTATTCTACAGGTGGTTAAACTAAGGCCTGGATGAAGGCAGGATGCTGAGGAGTCAGGAGTGAAACTGCTCTGTGCTTTACAGGTTTCACTGGTTTCCTCATTTCAGATATACTAAAATCCATTCACCAAAACTCATGTGGGATATTCACACAGTTAAAAAGGTTACTCAAATTTGAAATAATTGGCAATTAGAGATTTGGATTCTGTGAAAACTAGTAAGACATTATGGAAAAGTCAAATGAGCTAACTTTGACTGTTGGGAAAATATTATTTATCATACCTGGATCCACTCCACTCCGTTGGGAATCATCCACAAAGGCTTGTGTATGTCACACAGAACAACAGAAGCTCCTATGTTCGCAAGAGCACATCCCAGCTTGTATCCACAATAGCCACCCCCTCCTGTCACCACGGCTCTCATACTGATTTGATGGTATGCTCTAGCGTGTTTCTTCTGTTTGCAGCCAGGAATTCGGTGATCGGGTGCTGCTACAGCACTCATTTTTGGTTTTGTGTCAGTGAAATAGTGCCCGGTACTACCAGATACATGTAAAAATTCCTTCTACATGGTGAGAATTGCTTCATAGCACTCCTGGATGCAGACAATTTCAGGGAGTTTCATGTTGACAAGATCTATTCACAGCACCAAAATCTGACTTTAATGCAGCCTGTTTAAGAGAGATAAAGACAAAAGCAAACCAAAATTTACAGTCCCCAGTTTACTGCCAAGACAGATATCTGAGAGAAGTGGTATTTCCAGCTTCTTTCTAAGTACCAGCAGGTGAACATAAATTAAGAATACACTGAGTTGTTATCATTGGCAGAGCTGGAGTTGAGATAGATGAGGATTTCATGAGGGAAGAGGGATGCCTGATCCTCATGTTATAACTTTAGAAGGTGTATCAGAGAACAAGGCTATCAAATCCCTCGCTTTCAAGGGGAACTCGAATAAAATAGTAAAATAGCTGCTATACTATAGAAAAGGTAAAAAAACTGCATTAAGGAAAAAGTAATAGTGAATCACTTATTTCCTGAACGTGGGGGTTCTTGCCCTTCCAGGGGTTCCTCACTGGCAGTCAGGACATTTCAGAGGCTGTGCCTACCGACTCCTTCCAACACCCGCGTCCCTGCCCCGGCCGCAATTAAACATTCAAAGCCACCCGAGCCCCGCCGGGGCTCTCTGCATCTCCCTTGCAAATCGGCCGGGCGGCAGCGCAGGGACTCGTGCAGGGCCGGGCCCCGGCCGTGCCCCGGCCTCGGGCGCCGCCGTTGCGGCCGTTGGGGCCGCGGGCCGGGCGCGGGCAGCGCCCGCGGGAGCCGCTCCGGGCTGGAGCGTCCGGCCCGGCCCCGCCAGCAGCCTCTGCTGCGGGCCCGACGGGTCCCCGAGGGTTCCGCAGCATCCCCGGCGTGCTCTCATCCTAAAGCACCTCTGACATCCCATCGCATCCCCAGGCTCCCACAGCACCCCTGGGTTCTACTCATCTGGCAGCAGCTGTGGGATTGCACAGCTTTCCTGAGATAATGCTCATCCCACAGCATCCCTGGGATTCTGCTCATCACGCAGCATCCTTGTAACTCACAGCATCCTGGGGATCCCACAGCATGTCACGGTATTCCTGGGTTGCCAGAGCATCCCTGGGATCCCAGAGCATCCTATGGTGCTTCTTACCTCCTGGAGTCTTCACACAGCTGTGACTGCTGCGCAAAAGCATCCTGTCAGTAGCAAGGGCTCCGGCCACTCCGAGGTACCTGTTGAACAGGTTGTTCAGGAAGAAAACACCACCTCCTGCCTAATGGTTGGACAGTCGGTGGCGGGACATTGCTCATAGAGATGCAGAACTTCTGAGACACCTGCAAAACAGCAGGAGTTCCCAAAGAGGCACAAATAAACAAATAGGCAATAAGGTCCCCTTTCCACCTGAGCCTCCCTGGGGTCATTTGAGCCTGGGAGGGTGTGAAAAGAGTCAGGAGCTGCAGAATTTCAGTTACCCATTCCAGGCAAAAGTTAGGCTCTGAACACGTTTATCTCTTTTGTTACAGCTGTGCTATGTCTGAACATTCACATTAAATTTTAATCATTTAAAGACACACTTCAGTTATGTTAGAGTAGGAGTAACTCAAGAGTCAGCTTTAACTGAGACTCAGTAAAGACCTACAGAAATAAGAGAGCTGGCTATTCCCATCTGGTACTGATGATTGTTTTAAAATCTCAAATACTGCATCTGTAAGAAAGATAAATCAATGTAATGAAGCCAATTATTGTTAATCAGTGCTGTTATAACAGTGATGTAAAAAGCATCCTACCCAAAATAACAAACCACAGGTTTGGTGTTACAGGACTGAAATGATGGGACTCCACAGGGACTTACAAACACAAAGCCAGCAAATTCCTTGGTTAGTCCTTACTGAGGAGCATCCAAACAAGGTCAGAGCCTGCACTCCTTTGAAAAGTGTTGGTGTAATCTGGGATGCATCCTGAGCTATTAGTCCAGTAAGAGCAGTATGTAAGATTTATAAATAACTAATTTAGAACCAAGTTGAATGTTCACATGCAGCTAAAATGCTCTCACTGGGAAGTAACTTCACACTTACGGCTTTCTATTCTGCATTTCTAGGGAGAAATTACATGGCACCACCTGCCTGCAGCACTTGCTGGCTCAGCTGCAGGTCTGTAGTGATACATTGTGAATTTTGCTGGTTTTAATCAAACCTGGACAAAGGCCTCTTATCTACAGAGCTTCTTTAAGCTTCCTATCAATTGCCAGGAATAGGAGAGAGGGCTGAGCAGTGCCCTGCTAAAGGAGGATGTACAGTGGGAGCTCGCTTTTTATGGACAAGGACAATCTCCAAATGCAAACCCATAATCAAGCAGGCTCTACTGCTTTCACTGCACACAGAACTATTTGTTTAGTGAAGAGAAAAAAAAATCGAGTAAAACAAATCTTTGCTTACAGAAGTTGCAGTGGTAACTGTGGTTGCTCGCATATTTTCCTGTCACTGTATTGCCTTTTACCTGTACCTTGTATTCTTCTAGGGTTGCTCTTGGCTCTCCTGCATATCCTGTAGCTTTAGAGTGAGAGAATCTCTATAAACTTACTGGTCTTAAAAATCCTGTAAAATGCTAAGAAAAGGCAAAATGAACACAGAGGGGAGATAATCAGATGGCAGAGCTGTTCCATCATTGTCTTCCAAGGCCCCCCGTGGCAAATGCAGCTCTCTTGATTCATGTGGGGTGCAGGAGAGGGAGCAGCTGCTCCCTGGTCAGAGCAAAGCTGATTCCTAAGAAAAAAACCCGTAACATCTTTAGGGTTTGTCTGGGCTACACCTGGTGGGTACATGTATCACAGGTGGCTCATGTAGTGCAATCCACCCAAGAAGCAACTGATGTAAGACTTAAGATAGGGGAAAAGAGAGAGGCTGGATTCTCACTCCTGTCTTGGCTCCTCTGCTCACCCCAAAATACAACTGAACACACAGTATGTGCCAGCACTGCTACAGGGTTGTGGAAATGTAGAAATGCGACTCAAGGGAGCAGTAACAGCTGGCTGAATTCCACAAGCTCCTTAAAAACAGTATTTGGTTCAGATATTATTTATTATTGCATTGAAAAGATATTATTTGATTTACAAACACACATAATATTTATTATATTTTTTAAAAGCTTTAGAACAATTAAACTATTTTACATAAATATTATTTTCATTCCTCTAATCACCTATTATTTATAAATATTTACTTTCAATATTTTTTGCACTGTCTCAGGTCTCTGTAATTCCTCAGGCTAACTGACAGTAGCTGTAGCCACGGCTTCATCAGAAGAGTTTAGTCACCCTTTTCTTCATTGGAGCTACTGGACTTGTTACAGCACTGTTGTCCTGTGACAGTTCCTCTTTCTCTACCTTCTCACCCTCCTGAACCATCACTTTTAGAGAATGTTTCCCAGCATGAAACGAAGATCCATTAAAACTATTCCTTGGACCCCTTTGTGGTGAACTCCTTTGCTATAACACTGGGGAACTTGGGGAACATTTTCTGATAGATCCTGTGTTTTCACTTTTCTAGTTGTTTTTTGTTTGTTTTTTTCTTTCTTAATGAGGTCAGACAGGTGTCATCATAGTAACATGAATAGCAAAGTCCATAGTGGCTGAGGAATGAGGAATGTACTATGACCAGACAGTTAATACTCAGAAACAAAATGAGGTTTTCCGGAGCAGGTAAGTGGTCATTTGATTTTAGAAGAAAGAAAGAATGATCAAACTTAACAAAGTGCCAAAAACAAACAGCATTTTAAGGAAAGTGTGATCTTCTTGGCAGGTAGGTCTTGTTTTTAGATAATGATCCACAGAATCAGCAAATGAGAATTTCTTTGGTTTGTAACCGAGTTGATTTCGTGCCTTGTCTATTCGGAAAGTGTGAGTTACAGTGACATTCCACACCTGAAAGTCAAAAGGACAGTTATGGCAGTGACTTTAATATCCAGTTTTCTAGAACTTGGGTGAAAATATATCAACAGTGATACTACAATGGAAACAGAACAGAAAACAGAGCTGCAATGCAGACAATCCAAAGGGTTATCATGTCCTTAATGAGAATTTGAGTCAGAAATATATAAACATTATCTTTTTTAATATATTTACCTCATTCCTTGTCAAGAAAGGTGTAAAGCTAAAAACTGGCTTTAGTATCAGGTGCAGATATTCCATCACAGCAGCTGTGAAACAGAAATTACTTAATGAGACACCTGGATAACAATAAACTGAGACAATGCTGACATTATATATCCTGTAATTCCTACTGGTAGAAGGCACTGTTTAATTTATAAAGTACATGATGAGTTTATGAATGGTCTTTAAACTTTATCTGGTACAACTAATACCACATGGCACAAGTGATTATTCTCAATTAAAATCATGTTAAGTTAAAGAATTCCTGTAGTTTGGGTCCCTGCACTTTATAAAACCACTATGTAGCTTCATAGGAATAAAAAAAATCAAACAACACACTACAATAATTAAGAATGTGTTTTATTTCTTTTACCTGCTATATGAGCCAGGAGAACAGGAATATGTATCCAAGGTTTCCTGTAGCCTAATTTTTCAAACTAAAAAACAGTATAAAAAGAAAGAATAACAGAGAACTTATACCAAATTGAGGGAGTCAATTAGGCATGGAAATGGGGGGAAAAAAAAAAAGGAAAAAAAAGAATGAAAGAATGTTGATAAACTTGTATCTAAACTTTTTTTTTCCAGCTAGTGTTCCTGTCAATACAGGTAGTAAAAAATGCAATTGAAGCCCACTACTCATTCTTTGGTGTCCACCTCCCACCCCTCATCTGCAATTGGACAGCAAAGGGGAATAAAAGTCCATTCCCATGGGGGAAGTGATCCAGACTGGAATAGTGAACTACAGTTAAATACAGGCCCAGTTTTCTGCTGCAGTCATTTTCTGTGACAGCATTGCAGGATCAAAACTTTGGCATGCTCCTAGAATCTCAGCCTGCTATTTCTGAAAATACAGTGTTGTCTCTTTTTAGCTTCTAAGATAAGATTGTGAATGGGCTTCCCCTCTGTGCTGCAGCTGATGGCAGGACAAAGGGATAAGCAATGGCTGTAAGAGTCCTGCCAGATGCCAGAGGCAGAGCTTGCCATGCACTGTGGGTTTGCTTCATGAAATGCTCTGTCCTGCAGCACGTTCTGGACTTCCCAGCTAAATCCTCTCACAGCAAAACAGCCAAACTCCACAGTTACATGCATCCAAAACGTCTCTTAACACCAGTGGAACTTTGGGATATGCAGGGAAAACAGGACTGAGTTTAATGTTAAGGAATTCAGTAATTTATGTGCACTGAACTTCATTTAGTTGATCTGGTGTGTCAGTCAGTGACAGGACTCGTGGCCCCGTGGTGCTGGGAGCTGCAGGGCTTTGCAGTACGTACCAAAGGCACAATCCACTCAGAGAAGATGACATTTTCACCATCGTGGATGTAATAAGCCTGACCACTCTGGTAAAGAAGCAGAGAAAAACAATGACAAAACTGTGCACAAGATGGCGTTTTCTGTTTCTCTCATACCTACCTACCTGTCATGATTTTGTGAGCAACATGCCAGCGTGCACAAGGTGAATATCCACAGAAGAAACTGCCCCCACTGGGCTTCACTGTGGTTAGCCCAGAGTGGTGGTAGAGCTCATGGTGATTAACCATGGTGTAGTGCAGATCAGAGCTCAGTTTCCCCATGTAGTGGCCCAGTTGTTGGAGCATTATGTTCTTCATGATGTGCTGGGCACAGAATGACCTTTGTGAGTCCAACAGAAGGGGCAGCACTGATGGTATTTAACAAACACAGCCCTGAGGTCGAGTTCCAGCTGTGCTCTGGATGAGGAGTCTGCCCAGCTCTGAGTACCAGGAACACCTGAGCACCCAAACCTGGGACTCAGGGAAGGACATCAATCTAAAGCAGCTGCTGGCTTCCAAGCACTGAACTAATTGAGAACACATGGACAGGTGTTCACCTGTGTCAGTACCTTTTGTCTGTATGTTCCTACCAATCTAAATGAATCTGAGACCTTCAGGAACTGTGAATGCAGCAGCTGTTGCATCGTTGTCAGTTCTGGAATGCTTCACAGTCCTAAGACTTGTGTTGCAATTATTTAAACCAGTAGAACAAAAGGAAAAACCTCTAAAAATTGTCCTTTAATTTTGTACATCTCTTTTTGGAATCTTCGGCTCTGAAAATTCAACTGAAATGCCTCAGAATGGTTGCTCTAAATTTTATGTATCAAGGGTTAGAACCTATTTTCAAGAGAGTAACAGGATATATAGATTTGTGTAATGGTGAATATATTTAGCTAGTTAAAAATACAGCTTCCTCCAGTAACCCAGGAAATTATGTATTTTCAAACCAAACAAAAGCATCATCAAAATATGAGCAGAATATATTTGCATTTGGACTGTCTGTGTGCTTGTGGAGCTACACACAGTTTTAGGGAATTTAGCATATGACTTTTTGGACACTCTCTGATCTCAAAACATCAAAAATTAAATCTGTTTGAGAATTCAAGCTAGGGCACAATGATTCTATTGTTTACTTACAGCTACATAGCCCTTCTCAGAGGTGAGAGCCTCAGCAGCCAGCAAATGAGCTTGCACTAGATTTCCTATGTGAACCCAGTTCATCTGAACTTCGTGATTCCCAAACTTGAAGTTAAAGAGTCTCCTTTGGATATTTATCTGTAGAAACAGAAACCATGAGATAACGACATTATTCCTTTATTATGCACTATAATACTGATTTTGTCTCAACCCAAATATTTGGAATTTGCTGTATTTGTGTACAATTACAGCACAAGAAATGTGTCACAAGAAAAAACCCAACTAATGGGAGGTTTTAGAAATCAAAGACAGTTGCACTGATAGGCAGTGGCAAAATATAGTGACATTAAATTTTTTGGCAGACACTAAAGTGCATATTTAAAAGACACTAATAGGGATGCAAACCCAGTTCTTTTACCATGGCATTTCAGCTTTCCACTTTTCCTTTTCACTGAGAAGCCCAGCTTGATCCTGGCCCACAGTGCTGCTTTCATGCTATTTGTTACCCTGCACCACATCACCTATCCCCAAGCTTTCACCACATTCCTGCAGGAATGGTTAAGAACTGCAATCAAGGTACTTCCACTTGTGCTATGCCCTTACAACTACTTGTGGTGTCCTCCAGAGCTGACTACAAAACACATACGGCTACTCGAGGCAGGTGCCGCTGCTCTTCTGGTCCATAGATGCCCGGCGGGCGAAGCACACACGTGTGGAGCTTGTCCCCTCCTTGGAGAGAGAGCAACAGGTGACTGTCAGACAGCTGGGAGAGCAACAGATGGCTGACACATATTGTCTGAATTTACACTGTCAATATTAAGGCTCATTTTGACCATTCTGTGTGGTTTGGCTTCCTAGGGACTTGATTTCATCTCTGTGTGAAATTGAATTCAGTAGCAGTGACAGACCTGAGCTTAGCAGCCTGAAAAACTTTCCTGGGGTTACAGGAAGAACCCATTGGATAGTGCTTACAAATTGGTATTATCAGAACAGCTAATTGTCCACTGAAGACAGGAATAGAAACATGTAAAGGTGGCTGTAGTCAGGGGGGGTTGGTCTCTTTCTCCAGGCAGCACTGACAGAACAAGAGGACACAGCCTCAAGTTGCACCAAGGGAAAATTAGGTTGGATATTAGGAAAACGTTTTTCATGGAAAGAGTGATAAAGTACTGGAATGGTCTGCCTGGGGAGGTGGTGGAGTCACCATCCCTGGATGTGTTTAAAAAAGACTGGATGTGGCACTCGGTGCCATGGTTTAGTTGAGGTGTTAGGGCATGGGTTGGACTCGATGATCTTAAAGGTCTCTTCCAACCCAGTGATTCTGTGATTCTGTGAATCCTTATTTCAGTTAAAGTATAATATTGATAAATGAGCAACCAGAGAAAGGAATGCCCATTAGCACTCCTAGTGATAGAAAAGCCCCACATGCTTTACATGTACCTTTGAGTAAAGTTCCATTAGCAGCAAGAACCATTTGGTCTGCAATTGCCTTGGTTCTGGAATAATGATTAAATTGCTATAAAGAAGCAGAATAAGATAATTATTGAATCTGTAAAGGCAAACTTGCTGTTTATTCCTGATATTTCAATCTATCCAGCTCACTGATATCAGCTGAGCAAAACAAAACTAGAAATAGTTGGATTTAGTAAATATATAGTTTGTTTATGACAAAAAACAGACACACTTTAGTGGGATGAGTTTAGCTTCAGAGTGAATTTAAGTCAATTTGTATTTACTTAAATTACTTTTTGTGCTGAATATACTGAGAATATCTACAATAAAACAACTTCTGCTCCCAGAATAGCCTTCACACAATCTACCCTTTGGAGCACAGTAAATGCCACACCATCCTATGGATAAAGTACCTTTTCCAGTGGAAAATAAGGTACAGTTTCTTCATCTCCTTCTTCAATAGGCTTCCCTCCAAACACCACATTCACTGTACTGGTATATATCAGTCTAGGGATATTTCTTTGTTTGCAGACTACAGTGAGACACAAAATAAATTATTTAAAACAAAAATAAAGAGGGAGAAATAACTGAACTGGCAGATTTTCTTCTTGAAAACAAATACTACAATTATAGAAAAAAACCTAGTATTTTAATTTTAATGTTGCTTTATCATTTAGTATAATATTATCTTCCATTCAGCTGGAATTTTTAATCTCAAATATGTGAATATTACACATTGTGGTCACCAAATGTTTCATGATGAGGTACCTGTAAATATCATATCACTGATTGCAGACATCAACTGGGTAGAGGAATTATCTTGGTGGGGGAAAAATTCCTCCTTGAGAAGCCTTTCTTAAAACATGTTCATTTTCCAAATGGAATACAAAGGAAATGAGTAAGAACACTTGTTGTGGTACAGCCCTTGGGGCAGTGCTGAGGGAAGCAGCCACTCCAAGGCCACTGGGTTACCCTCAGTTCCAGGAGATGCCTCTTGCCCCTGACTTTGAAGGAACATGAAGTCACAGGGGAGCACGGGCCAGCTCTGCCCACATGCCACCAAACTTCCTTTGTGTCAGTCTGTTCATCAGTGACAAAGGATGTGTTAACAGGAAAACATACCCTGCTAGTGTATAATCAGCTGTGCTTTGAATACAAAGGAAATTAATGTTATTTGCAAAGCAAAGACTTAATTATGAATTCCAGTCTTGTGTAGCTAACACACTGTAGCTAAATTCTGCTGCATATCTGTCATTGCAAACTCCAATAATGTAAATTTCCTTATAATTTAACAATATTTCTAAAGTGAATTAAAATGCAAACTCGGGATTTTTTTAAATCTACAGAGCAGTCTGTTCTGCTGGTTCATTGGCTCATTTTAAAAATAATAAATGTTAATTATTGTTGTAAATTTTTGGGAAAAAATACAATAATAAGGTGTATTATTAAAATGATGATGAGCAGGTTCATGCTCCTCCCAGCATCTTGGTTTGCTGGGAGCCTATGGAAATTTGACATGACACGTTTCAGTGGGTTTGGAGGCTGGGGAAGGAAGAAGGGAATATGTGGCAACTCTTCCTTCTAACTTGTTCAGAGTTTTACTTGCCTACTATTCCATTTCTACATTTTTTCAGTAATAACACACAGGCTGCATGAAAATTAGTCTAAATAAAAACTGATTTTGCCATTTTGCTGCATTTTTTTCCACATTTGGTTTCTGAGGGAAAAACAAAGATAAGGTAGCTTTGGTATTTACAGTACACTCAGAAAATGTTCTTTCTGGAATTGAATATACTGGAAGAGATCTACTGGCATCTTCCAGGGACACTAGTTAAAAATCAGCATACAATAAAAAGGATCACAGTAGCAGAAAGGATGTAAGGTTTTCTGTATTAATGTGATAAAATAATAGCTAAATATACTTACACATCTCTGGAGCTTGTTACCAAATGTTTATGACACAACAAACAGTACAACTGCTCTCATCTTATTTCTATGAGGAAAGAGGATAACACTTCTCCATTACATAAAATAAAGGGAAAAAATAATAAAAAATATAATGGAGGAGAGCTTTATTGGATTGCCCAGGAATGAAGTCCAGGTTGAAAATCTATCCCCAGTTCAAACCAATGGCAAATCTACCAGCTTTAATGGGACCTGCACACTCAGGTTTACATCACACTCTGACAGCAGGGAGAGAACAGACTCATTTTACTGCCTGCAGGAAACATCCAGTTAGTTTTTTAATTCATGATTTAGATCATATACAGAGAAAGGAAATCTAGGTACCTACCATCAATTATTATTTTTGTGCCTCCAACATTTATGGATTCAATCTGATCTTTCTTTTGAAGCTAGAAATAGAGTTTGCACAAGATTTAATTAATCAAACAAGTCACATTTACTGTATGATGGTTACAATTGCCAGATCTAGAATAGCTGAGGTCTTTTTGTGATACATACTACAGTTTTGTCTGTCTGATATACACTGATTTCTGGCAGTTCTCTGGCAGTTTTTATTGTCTTGTTCAGTGTATGAGCAAAGAAAGTTGAAATGTGAAAGATAAAATGCATCTAAAAGGAAATAACAATACTTCAATATTTTGTCACACCCCAGATAATTCATGATATAGAAACAAAAATTATGGGCAGGGGTTATGCTCCCTGAAAGCTTTCACAAGTTCTTGTTTCAGTGGCAATCTGTCCTGTTCCTAGAAATAAATTAGTAGGTTCATGACTTTTTGATAACACCTTCTGTGACTATCACTGTTATTCAGCATAACATATTGTTGTGGTCTGTTTGCTCATGACTGAGTTCACAAGAGGAAAATGCATCAGTATTAGTTTTGGAGCGAGGCTGTCACTCTTCTTCAGATCAGAGAAAAAGGCTTCTTATCCAAGATCTTAAAACTATGATCTCATTTTTCTAGAATATTTTGTAGTACATTACTTTCACACTTTGACTTTATTATTTAAGGAATACCTCCCTTATTTCTTGTGGGGATGACTTGGCCTTTATAACAACTTCTGTCTCACATAAATATTGTAAAATTACATTCTTTGTTACGTACAGACAATTTATTTCTTTCTCAAAAATAACCAAAGAACACTTAAGGAAAATGGTACTTGCTTGTTCCAATCCTGACATTCCACATGCAGCCACATGGAAAACACAGTCAACCCCTTCACATGCTTTGAACACTGCTTCATAATCCCTCACATCACCCTGTAAAATGAGAAAAGAATGGATTTTTGACAAGGAGAGCTCTTATATTCTCTATAGAACTGTATTAACTGTGGCTAGTAAGGAAAATCTAAAGGTATTCTGGTCTGTTTTTCACAGTACTTAACAATTAAATAAAATATAATGGACAGGAAGAAAAAGTAATGATTAGGAATTTTGCCAGTATTTTGTTGCAAAACAAAGATGACTCTTGTTGGCTTCAATTATAATGCGTATTTTCACACTTAGTCCTGCAGCCTCCAGGCTGGCAAAACTTGTTTGACTTGAATGGGAGCAGCAAGAGCTCGAGGGCTGGAGAATCCAGCCCCAAGGACAATAAATCACAGCAGGAAGGGTTCAGCCGTTTGCCTTGGAATCACCAAATAAGAAAACCTCGTTTCTGTTGGCACCTTGAGATGTGATCTGTGCTGTCTTCACAAATGTCTTTTTATCTCTCTAGGGCTTGTTTGGTGCACTCTATGATAACTTTAATCCAGTTTTGTACAAGAGTAAAAAACTCAGTACAATCTGTATGTGTTTAATACTTTAGTGTACACTACTGTATACTATAATCACATTGATGAAATTCCCTGTATCACTGAGCACACCTGTATCTAGTATTAAATCCTATGATGGGTTTAGAATATTATATTGCATTTGTGTATACCAGGTAATACTACATTAATAGTACTCCTCATATCTACATAATTGATAGAATAATCCCAAAAGAAACACCTGAAGGTAATATTAAAAGCTAATCTAGTCAGTCTTTAACTCTCAACGTTTTTCTCCTAAGGTTGCCAAGTATTTCACAAATAAGCTGACCTACACTTCCCATCCTCAATGCAATGCTACAGGAGCTAACCAGTATAAACAATATTAAACAATATATATATATATATATATATATATATATATATATAAACAATAACCATCTCCAAATCACTGCTCAAGGCTCCAACCTCTGAAGTCACTTATTAATTCATTTACTAGGACTCCATAGTTCAATTTTCCAGATAACTCTCTTACACTGTGTAGTATTTATTCTTTTAAAATTGATTTATAATAAAATGCTGTTCAAGAAGATCATTTGTGAGATCTTGAGTCCCCTTTAGAAGATGTAAATTGCCATCAGTCCACAAACTTAAATCAAATTATATGGACTTACAGCATTAACAAATCAAGCTTATTGTGTTTGAATGGTTCCTCAATAATGCTTTATCCCTCTTCCATGTTCTGTAAAAGTTGTTAAGAAATTGAACTTGAAAGCATCCTGGGTCAGACGAGATCTGCTTGGCCTGATATTCTGCTCTCACCCAGAATCATCCATCCCCCTCTGCCTCCCTTCCACCTGCCCCAGAGGGTGATGTAGCCCAAAGGAGAAAACCTAGCATCACAATGACAGCCTGCAGGACCAAGGTCCTGTGATCCCTTCCAGCTTTGCCATCAGCTTCCCAGTTCTAGCGGGGATGGCAAATGCTCTTACAGTAAATTCTCAAGAAAGATCAGCTGAGCAATACCCTGGGTTTAGCCAGAATTTGTGTGACATGACAGGAGCAGCCAGAAAGTGCCCCCAGAGCCCAAACCTGAGCACCTGGAGCAGCTGTGAGAGGCACTGGGAAATGTGTCCTCCACACATGGCAGTGAGCTGTCAAATACTGGAGACCGCTTTTATCAGACACAGTAATTCCTTGAACTGTTAAAATCAAAAAGAAGCAGTGCTCATAAATGGGTGCTGCAGGAAGAGTGTGAACAGGGCAAGCAAATGTGACACTTCCCCCAGAATGTTCTTCGTGTCTTGAAGCATTTTCATTCAGAAGATTTCTTGAGCCTAATTTAATGTATCTATTCAGCAGTTTCCAGGAAGGTAAATTTTTCTTTTGGCTTTGTACATGCCTTTTACCCCCTGCACGAAAAGCCACATCATTTTGTTTGTACTGAACTGACTCTTCCTTCCTGCTGGCCCTTCCTTCTTGTACTGGAAGGACAGTGAGCAATGCCACTCCCAGCCCATAGAGCTCTTCTGCTCCTGAGTCACCTCTTTCCCAGCCTGGAAATCCCAGTTTTCTCAATCATTCTGCATTTGTGATCCCCTTTATTGCCCTATCTTGGCTCTTACCCTTTTACTTAAAATAGTTCCCCTGAGCAGGCACCTTTGTCCCTTCACTGTTCACAGTTTCCATGGGGCGCTGAATGGCACCTCTCAACAGAGCATCACTGGTGACACCGAGACACTGGGACCCTATTTGTCATCCCTTAATCAGGTACTTATGCATGCAAGGACCTTTTACCACAGCTTCTTCTTGTCCTGAAAGGCTTTTCCATAAATGTTTTAATCAAAGGTTCTTAAGAGGAAGCCTTGATAATGAGCATTAGACAGGTAACTCCAACATACCTTGAAAAAATCCGCTCCGCTTGGAATTTCCCATTTTGGTTTCCGAACATCAAACAGCACAACAGCAATTCCAGAGCTAACAAGGGCACATCCCAGATTGTATCCCAGGTAGCCTCCACCTCCTGTCACCAGTGTCCTGCTGCTCCTGGGAGCCAGCAGCCCAGCAGGCTCAGTCACTTGGCTCTCACAGGGTTGGCTGCTGTGGAGCTCTTCTGTGGATCCCTCTAGCATCACGACTGCAACAGAGAAAATGTCTTGAAAACTCCTGCATAATACTTTGAGGTCTGGGTAATTTCAATTACTTTCACATTACAATGCTCCCACACTAGTTTTTATTATGTTAATATGTTTAAAATGTATGAATTCATAATTTTGGTGATGGGCTTTCTATGTATATTAGTCTTTTCCTCATATTCCTAGACTTCATATTATATAGAAATGAAGAGAAATCACAGGATTTTAGAGCCATTATAATTACCTAACCTTAACAGCTATGTTGGCATTTTTTAATACTTGGTTTAATCAAACATGTTATCCTTGAAAACTCATTAACTTCTGATATATTAATGCCAAATTGATGTTATCCTACTAGTCAGGAAAATAAACCAAGACATTAGATAAGGAATATAAGAAAGGATTAATTCTATTTTTAAAATCAACTTTGTTTCATATTTGGGTCTTTAGTAATGATAAAAATTAGTTACCATTTTAAGCTTTTCCAGTTACTCATTAAATATATTTAGTTTTCTTTCTAGTTCTCACTAACTTTTGACCATATTATCCTCAGTAGGGCATTCATAACAAATAAACCAACAAAGGGCAGAAGAGGTAAGCCATCTGCCCTGTGGGTTCTTCTAGTTGGGAAAAATGATTAGAATATCATTCTAGGATAACAACTCCATGGGAGTTACCCATCTGTACACCTTGTTCTATATTGAAAATTAGTTTATTCTACATTAATTACTTGTCCAAGAAATTTCATTTTCCCACACAGAGAGCCCCTGTCGCCCTGATTCCATGCCTGGCCTTTGCACATTGGGATCTAGGCTCTTATACCCCCAGACAAAAATCCAGAAGAAATCTGCAATCAGTTATGTCACCATGAAGTGGGAGCCCAACTGGGTCTGCAGTCTATATAGGAATATGGACCCAATCTCTGCAGATTATTTTGGTTTTCTCATAGTTGGAGAGCTCCTTATAGGAGAGGAGCCTCTCAGCTGAGTACAGTTTGCCCTCAGCCATTTATGCCAGGCTTCAGCAGAGCTCAGGCACAAATGGGCATGGCTGGTAGCTGGCAACTCTGTCACTTCCAGAGTGACAAAAAAATTCTCAAAAAGTGACACAAAATGCAGCCATAGCACACAAAATTATGGACTACTTTAACCATTGCTTACTTAGTATTTTATACTTTTGTTTGTGATATTCTTCTTATTTTTTATGTTGGGTTTTAGATTTCAGACACAGGAAGGGACCATATGTCCACACTGTTGCATGGTTTTAACACCAATGTCAGTTCACTCAATTCAGTAAACTGAGTGGCATAACAGTGTAAAACACAAGCTGCTCATGTTGAGAAATATCCTGACATTTCAAAAATGAAAAATAACCCGTTTCCACAAAAATTTAAATTACAACTAATGTAATACAACTAAAACAAGTATGCTGTCCTGTTCAAGCAAGGAAACACAAATTTGTGTCTCTAGATTATGCTATGCAGGAGTCTTAAGCCATATAAAATTCTTTTGCCTTGTCGTCTGAGAAAAAGCATCTTTTTATATGCTGTAAGGAGAAATAAAGTCAAGCTTAGCACATATATTACAAAAAGGCATTTGAGAAATGGTAAATTTTTGAATACTTGTCATTAATATCTCCTTAAGGTTTAAGTAAGCTGGAGGTTGCATTAAAAAGTTTAAAGTTTTCTAGAAATCTCTTTCTTAAAAAGCACTAGTAGCATTAGTATATTAATCTGCTTCATGGATTTAGAAAATTGTTTTCAAATTTTAAACATAAGCAGTTTTCTTTTTGAAAAAGCTTCTTTTCAGAATCAGTAACTTCATTTTTTCTCTGAATTTTTAGGAGCTATTATTATTTATAAACGTTTCTGCATGATAAACAAAGTCATACCTCATGAAGCACATGTCGTGTGAGTTGCTCTTAATTCATTTCAAACTCTACTGTCATTTCAAATATCAGAAATGTTCTAATTACTTCCCATAAAAAGTAAAAGTCAAACATATCAAGTTTTTAAAAATAACTAAAGAAGTAGTAAGTACCCTTGGTAGAATCCTGCTGTCAGTGCTCTCCCAGGCCTTCCTGTCCAGGTAAGAGGTTGAGATGTCTCTGTGCTGGACAATTTGTGACTCAAGGGCATCAGGTGCTCTCAGGCAGACAGAGAAGTTCAGTGTGCTCAGGCCTTTTGCTGTTCCTGCTCCTTTGTAGCTGGTGCTTGGCTGGGAGCCAAAAAAGGGCAGGGCTTAATCTGTACATAATATACGTTCCATTTCAGGAAAAAAATTTAAAATTCTGCACATCACACCATTCTTAACAGGATGGTACCTCTCACTTACTTGGTAAAAGTGTAAGACACTACACAACACAAATAGATCATTGGTACCATCATTCTGTAGATAAACTACTAGAGAAGAAACAAAAATCCTATTTGGCAGTGCTACTCAGCACTTTCATCCTGACTCTTCTATCTCCATCTCCAACCCAATTTTGTATTTGCAGAGAGGCACAAGGGCTGTTCTCTGATTTCCAAGATGAATGAAGGTACTAAACTACCTTGTACACAATAAAACAGGAAAAGGTGGTGTACTGTTAAATAATGCATTTAAAATGAATGAATTAATGAAATTATTAATAATTATAAATGTGTTCTGTCCTAAGATTTTAAAGCACATATGCTTTTGCAAACTAAACAATGAGAAGTCAAAGCCAACATTTTAAATGGGTGTGTCTAAAATTAAGTCTCAAAACAGTAGTTAAGATGCTAAAGAAACACTCCCACATCTAAATATAAATTACTACAATTTTCAGTATTTGCATGTTAGAAATATCTCAAGTTCATAGGTAACCAATTGCAATTTAAATGTAATTTAATGTTCATGTGCTGACAAGAACTCAAACTGACACCTAGGCAAATGTATTTTCACATAACACGTATGTTCTAAATATACATGTTGGCATTAGAACCAGAATATTGCACTGTCAAATTAATCTGCACTTCTTGGATTGCTGAGTGAGTGACAAGCTCAGCTCACAGTAAAATCCCCAAGACCGAACTGTCTGTTTTGAGCTGTCCACAGTTTTTACCATTTGATGCAAGAAATAAAGTATCCATTCTATCCCTGAACTATTCCCAAGTCAAAGCAGCTTGTCAGCTTATTCAAAGGATATCAACCCCCCACTCCTCAGTGAAATTTAACAAAGAGCATTTTAACTTGGCTTTGGTTTTGGACACCTCAGAGGAGTTTTCAGAGCTGGTATTTTGTACCTCTCCTGTTATGCTTATTCTCTTACCTTTAGTAAAGAGGGTTGGTCATATTTTGTTCAATGCATCCTGCTAAGTATTTCTGAAAGAAACAGAAGGTAAAGTTACAAGGAGAAAAGCTGCTGCATTAAGATTGGAGCTTGCTTTTGGTCTTGAATCACCACTCTATACTGCCTTTTTCTACCTTTTCTCCTATGACCATTTGTAGTTCATGTAGGCACATAGAAACAAACAAAACATCCAGTACTTGCAGTACTTACAAGGAAGGTGTCGGGGAGTTTGTCCATGTATTTACAAGGAGCAGGTCCACATTTCTGAAATGTTTTTTTGGCTTATCAAAATATTGCTCACATCCAGACTGTAAAGCAATGTTGAAATGTAATTGCACTGTTTCATAGAGGAACCCAGTACGCTTACACAAGTTCATTTCTAATCACATGCTGCTAGAGCCAAGCCTGAATTGAGTAAGGAGGATTTGGCACAAGACAGACAAGACAATCTCTGTCCCCAGCATGCAAAGCCTGGTCCCTGTGCTGGTTCTGAACACTGCTGGGTACTGGACCCCAGAGGGGTTTCAAACCATGGCCCAGAAGGCAGATGTGTGAGACCAGGTCATTCAGAGGTCCTGGGAACTTCACAGCTCTGCACTCCCAGGCCACAGAACAGGAGCTGTGCTCCAGCTGTGGGGTAACCTGAAGAATGGTTTTCAAGTGTGGAAGATCCTATGCAGAAATGAACCTTTAACAGAGTAACCAGAGCATGAAGATCTCGACAGTGAGTTAAGATGACAGCCAGATATTTGGCGTGAGTCACAGGCAGGATGGGATGTTCTGGAGTGCCCAAGGGCAGAGGAATAGCAGAAAATCAGACTAAGCTCTCTCTTAAACCTACTCAAGGACAGGGTTTTGCTGAAATACCTGCCATACAGAAAATACCCTCTCTTCAGTTGACTTATTAAAAATTTCTGTATCTAAGCCCTACATTAGTAGAGTTGTCCAAGCTTTCCATGTGTTTGAGCTGGTGCACTTGTTCACACACAGATGCCCCATCAGAGGTACTGACACAGTCTGTGAGCTCAGAGTGGTGAGACTCGTTTGGACAGGGTACAGAGCACTGACCCCTCTGCAGCCCCAGAGAAGCCTGGGCAGAGCTGTTGTAGGCTGTAAGTACTTTTGACTAAGGGAACTTATCTCTTTGTGACTACAAAAAGCACCCTCAGAACAAGGATGTCTAAAATGACAGAGAGCTGAGAGAAGGGAAGTGGTAACAGTAAGATATTCACTCTTTATGTGAGAGAAGACAGAAAATGTTAAAAAGCATTTAAATTAGATTAACGGAAGAGAAAAAGAATAGAGCTCTCCTCTAATTATGTCTAGCTGGGCTTAGAACTTTTAGTCAAAAAGAAAAATCATGGTATCTGAATTTGGGAAAGGAAACTTCAGAACATTTTTCATATAGCCAAATGCTAAACATTGGTACATATCAAACATTTCTACAGCATGAACTCATCCTTAAAAAAGTTTACCAACACAATATTGATACAACAACAAATGCAATATACGACCCAAATTGTTATGATAACACAACATTCTTCACATTCCTTGCTAAGTTAGAGGAGTAAGACACAGAGGCAAAGCAACTTACCCGTGTCATGCTCTAAGTCCAGGCCAGAAGGGAAAAGAAGATGCAGATCCTTATTCCTCACTGCAAAGCTAAGAGATCAGGTTCTTCTTAAACCCCTCAATTCTTCATTAACATACATAAATATTCTCACTCTATCTTCCCTTTTTCCTGTTCCTTTGTGTATTTGTGTTACAGTTCTGCATATTTCACTGTTTCCTCATGGAAGGAGTAAAATACACATAAATAGAGCCTTGGAATGTGCTCCATAAAATGCTTTTCAAATGACTTTGTTCTCATTTCCTTTGCATTCGTGGTTACTTTGCATGTTACACAGATTGATTTACAGGTCAAATGAAATGATAACTCTGAGCCTGCATTGCCAAGGCAGGATGGAATTACAGGAAGAAACAAAGCAACTTCTCACAGCAGCAATGAACATCCCTGTATCAGCCCTTGGGTCTTGTTAAAGAAGAGAACAGTTTATGCAATATTTGAAGGGAAGGAATACAAATGCATCATAAATAAAAATACTGTGTTACATTGTACTGAATAAAGGCACATTTCTATACAATTATCAGGGATCACAGCTTGGCTTGCTGCACATGGGAATCAGAGAGACAACAAGTGTCAAACAAACCATAAAATGCATCTTTGAAAGAAATTATAACACCAATTCCAACAGGTTTGTTATTTGCTAGTTTTTACTCTATTTAGAGAAGCCTTGGTACCACATTAGGAGTGGCCAGGGTGAGAGAGGCAGCCCATGTCATTGAAAGAATATACAATTGTGGCTTACAAATAGAAAGATTATAAACTTCTGGCTACTTATCAAATTCTGTGTAGAATTTAAGATTCTAACTGAGGAAGTCTCACATGATATGAGTCAGAAATTATCAGACTCCTTATAAATTACTTCTGCCAGCTCTTTCACTACCTCAAACCTGAATTATCATTATTGTAACAGAGACAGGGAAGGAAAAGGGTATTTTCTGATGCTGGCAATTATCTGGAATTGCATTGTCCCTTCTTCCTCTCTCTTCCCATTACTTATTTATTTATTTAAACTAATCAGCAAGCAAACATCTCATAAGCATCTGTTTGAGACAGTGGCACAAAGGACCAAAGTTCAATGGAATGAAATATACATCTGATAAATATCTGATTTAGATGCATTAAAGTGATTCCATGAAATTTCCAGTGACTTGATTATAGTAATACATTTGGGTGCCTAAAGTCTTGGAAGTTAAAAATCTAGATACATGCTAACAGTAGCCACATGCTTATAAGGCATAGAGAAATTCTTACTGAACAAAATTCTAGAGGACACAACACACATTACCATTACCTTCCTTTGAAGCAGCATGAACTGCTGGGGTGCCTCAAATTTGGGATGCAGGAATTTGTTACTATGCCAGGCTGTCCCACCCTTCTCCTGGAAGCTGTCCCCTGAAGCAGCCATGGCTGAACCATGAATGCAGGAGTTCCTGAACTGCCAGTCCTTGGTAAGAGTTATGAACATCTGCACCAGTTAAACCTAGCTCAGCAGCTGGAACCTGGGAATTATAGCAGCACGTGAGCTGCTCCACACAGAAATTCCCAACCCCTGCTGTGAAAGCAGCACTCTCCTGAAGGGGGCTGCACACACATGTGGAGATAGCAACTAGTTCAGCCATTTGTCTTTAATTCATTGCACACCCATCAGCATATTCAGTGAGTCACAGCAATGACATGACTTACAAACTAGCTGGCAGAAAAGTATGCCTTTGGTCAATTATAAAACTCCTCTTTTATTATGTCTTGAATACAGTGGGTTGCATTCCAGCAAGCACAAACCAGGAAAGAAAATGACACAGAGCTGACAGATCGACACTGAAGTCACTAACTGAGTATTACTCAGGTCCTCCCCACTGAGGCATCTCCTGAAAACGTTTTCCTGGCTGACAGCCCTCAGCCTGATGGGACCAGGTAGGATGGGAATTTCCAGGTGGGTAGTAAGGAGATGGAACCTGTATTTTAAAGGAGGTAGCAGGGCTTGAGCAGCCTGCAGGACCACAAGGCTTTGGCTGCACAGCTAAACACACTTACAGAAGAGGAGAACTTGGATGGGGTGTAAAGGCCTGATACTGTAATACCTGACTATTTTACAGCTTCTGTGCTGACACAGATTCTAACATCAACATTTGCTCCTTACTTTTTATTACATTTTCTTGAACAGGAGGCTTAGAAGCCCTTAGCTCACACCTCCAGCATACAGAAGGCTCCTGAGTTCCCTGGAGTGAGAGATCATGCTCAGGAGAACCAGAGAAATGTGCTGTGCTCTGCCCACAGAAACAAACGCCCAGTCCAGGCCAAAGCAAACAGCTCAGTGATGAGTACTGATGTAGGCTGCCCCAAATTTTGGGTTACAGATCCACTGACAATCAGCCAGTGGAGACACTGTGTAAATGCAATTGTTTTGATAGAATAAAACCTCTGAACACCAAATATTGTATGGGGGGGAAAGGCTGTAAATGAGAGCTTTGACAATTGCAGTCTAACACAACAGACTGAAATATTCTGATGCTTATCCCCATTTGCAAAATCCAACATGTTCATTATGATCTTACTTTGCAAAGAGCCTCTGATACCATTTAACACATCTGCATAAGTGTGTTTCCTTTTAAGTTCTTTTAAAGTGCTTTTATAGGAATGTAAGAATCTATGCTACAGTACTGTGACATTTCTTAAATCCTCCAGGGAACAAATAAACCCTTTCTGGCAATACAGAAAGCTCATCCTTTCTACCTGGATTTACTGTTTTAACATTTCTGTTAGTACAAATCCTCATTTTATTAGTGATTATCATCTATACCCCAAACAGAAATGTAACTAATCCTATTAATTTACAATTAACATTTTCATATCAAATCATCTCAGCAGTTATACAAATCCACAAATAAAATCACAGAAAGTGATGCACAGCACAAAGCACTAGTTTAACTGCAGCATTCTAGTGAAGGCTGGCACTCACATGGAAGGCAGGAGTTACCTGGTTCAGAGCATACAACACTAAATAGATACATTTATGATAGAAGTAATTTTTAATTCTTTATAGAGACAAAAGAGACAAAGGGACAGAAAAGACAATCTCCCATATCACAGCATATCCAGTGGCACTCAGGAGATGCAAATGGCTCCTGAATAAATACAGATCAAGTCTCTTAATTTTGAAGTATGAATCCATTTTTATTATATTACATATATTAAACACCTGAGATTAATTTCTAACCCTCTAAGAGACAATAGTAAACATCTACAAAATATTGGTGAGCTGTCATTACAAACATCAGTAAAAAACAAGTATACTTCACAAATCAACTGATACTGGCAAACATTTTTTAATCTTTCTAGACAGGAAATATGTAAGACCAGAACTGCTCAGAAGATAGGCAGTGCCTGTTCTACAAACACAACCAGGCTACATCAGCAACAGAGTATTACTTTCTTGCATATTTTATAATTTCTGAATCATCAGCTCTAAATCTTTCTTTACTGCCAGCATGAAAAGCAAAGAGTCAAAATAATCATCAGCAAAACTTCTCTGTGCAAAAATATGAATTACAAGCTTTGTTTCCTGCACTATGGTTATTTCTTGAACTTTCTATGAAAAACTGGCATGAAGAATTATCTTCCTAACATCACAGCCATCTGTCTCATCTGTTAGGGATAATAAGCACCAGTAAAGAATTCTCAAACCAACAGACAAAAAAGGCAATTTAGACATACCAGCAACTAACTGAAGAAATTATTAATATGATGCAGTAAAAGAGAAACAAAAGTTGTGACCCTGTATAATAACTGATACATACACTTTTAAAATTTGTATTAGCTATATTGAAAACTACCCTCTACTTATATTTAAACTTTGTAGAGTTCAGGGCTTGATTTACTTTGAATCCTCCAAAATCTGCAAGTGGAGTCAGTGCAGCACTTATCTGCAACTTCTTGTCTTGCCAGCCATTGTGACAACAAAGAAAATAAATCTTTCTGCTTGAAGCTGGAAGGTGTGAGCACACTTTGTAAAGAAGCAGGTATGATGGTATGATTCCAAACCTCTTCAGCATCTTTTCTTCATCTAAAATTTAATCCTACAAGTGAAGCACAAGAATACTTTTTAAAATACAACTCAAAATACATAAAATGCATGGGCTGAGTGTCTCCATTGACAAAATAGTCATGGAAAAACAATACAACTTAAACTGAAAGTAATCAAGTTTCCTTACTTACATGTTTCATGGAGCTACAGTGCTATGCACTGTCTGGAGAATTTTAACAGGAATGCCTTCCTATACACTTCACCAGCAATACAGTTTTCCTTGGAACTCTGAGATACAGAGATGGCTGAGGAACACCAGCCTTTATCTCTGCCTGCCTGCAACAACTTCCTTGCTCCTACAGGACAGTTTTACATCTGCTCCCACCACTCTGTAATGATAGTCCCATGTTTGCTGAGGTTGTCTTTGCTATTAGTGGGGTCTTTTTCAGTCAGCCTTGTTCATTTAACAGATAAGTCATGCAGCTGAAATACATAAACTATGATGTCAATGTGGTGACTGTTTACCTGAACACTTTCTTGAAAGCCAGAGTCATCTTTTTGGTTTCTGTTCCATTTTTCAAACAATAATCTGTTTGAAAGAAGAACAAACCCCAAAGAATTACAGCAGTTTTTCACAGAGGCACAGGACACTTTGGAATCTCTGTTTAGCCCTGTCCTTGGGTAACCTTTCACTGAGGAGCTATAATGCATTTTAAAGCTCTTTGCAAGTACTTTTGCCTTCATTCCTATTGAATTGGTGCTTTCTGGTTCTGGATTGGCAGTTAGGAAGGGTAACAGTGAAGAAACAAAGATCAATACAATTTAAATGTCCTTCACTCCTATTCTAGACAATTCTCCAGGTCTATTTTTTTAATATAACAGACATTGGGAGTCAGATATTCTTGTCTTCATTCCAGAAAAATAATAAATACAAAGATCTTTGATAAATACTCACCTCCAAGATTTTGCCTGCTTTAAGAAACTTCTAGCTTTTGCTACTTCTTGAGTAAGTTTCTTTAAATCATCTCCTTCAAAGTAAGGGAAAACTGGATTCTGAAAACATAGTTAAAATGTTTTAACTTGCACCTATTTATTATTTTCTGTTTCACCAACGTAATTAACTGATCCTAAGCTCTAAATTTCCCTACTTGCAGAGAAGGTCTTGGTCTCACAAGGGGAGAGCAGAGCAAGCCCAGATTGAGCCTGGTTCTGTTCAGTGACATTCCTCTGCTGTGGCAATGCCTGCGGTCTCATGCTGGAGAATTAACGTGCTAAGCACCATATAAGGATTTTACAATTAAATCAAACACAATATGGCAAGGGTAAGAAGATAGTAAGATCTGAAATTAGCTTTAAAACCACATACAGACACATGATATATTTTTTACTTCTCTTTCAAAATCTGTATTGCACTGTGTATTCCTTTCATGGGCTTGGGCACCTCACCAAGGCAGTTAGCAGAAAGGCAAAAACAGATACAAAAACTTCTCTTTCTGGTTTCAATATTAATATCTTAGAAGTTTTGTATTCATTTGCTCATTGTTCTTTTTTAAATGAAGTTTCTCTACTGATGAAGAACTAAGTTGCAATGAAACAAAAAAACCCGATTTATTTAACATACATCTTCATCATCCAGCCCCTCTGTCAATATTCTGTGTGCTGCTAATTGTCCATCTTCACCTGCAGAACTGCAGTGGAAGCGCCCTCCTGTTTGGGAAGCAAGCTTCTTCAGGAATTCAACAGCTCCTCTGTTAGCACAAAGTAGAAAGCTACTTAGGAAAATTATTTTCCAAAAGGAACAGCAAAAGAATTTCTAAGAACTCCTCAAAAATATGACATCAAAACAAATAGCTTGGAGGACATGATTATAAATTCCTGTATGAAATGTGGCCATGTGGCAATTCCCTGTGTCAGAACAACCTTCCCTGTTACCATCTTGGTAGCCCAGACTTATGACAATAAATTAATCATTTTAAAATATTATTTTTTTGTTCTTGCAAGTATCATATACCTGTCTGCACAGCTAAAACAAATGGTGTGGATTTTAATATCTTGTTTCTTTATCAATCTTTCAATTTCTTTCAAAATCAGACTGCAGCTGGTGTCTGGTTTTCCATCAGTCAATAGATACAGTGCCTCTACACCTTGGAAACTGAGAGCCTTCTGGAAAGCAGAAAATATGCTTAAATAATTTGTACATTTATATGAAATGTTGTACTTCGGAACAAAAAACCATTCCAATGATTTAAGACAGTTTTATATTTGCCACATCATTAATGAACTAAGTTTTGTCTTTTCATTTTCACTCATTAGGATATGAATTTGAAAATTTAAGTAGATAATTTGTAGCATAAGGCAACATATTTATAAGCAGGGCATTGCCAAAAATTGACTCACTGAAATAAGAAAATTAACTGGTTTTGGAGATCTACTAACAAAGATTTTTACATCATATTTTATGGGATTTAAAGTTATTTAATGTCTGAAAATCAGGCTCACTAGGACTTGAATGCATATTATGAAAATTTGCTACAGTAGTTGACTCATTGTACTATTTACATGCCTTGTGGCTCTAGTGGACTTCATTCATGATGAATGCCATAACATTTATATCGAGATTGTGCAAGGATGTCTGGAAGAAGAATCGTTTATTAAAGGCAAAATTTCTTTTTTGATTCCAATTTTAAATCTTGTGAAATTGCAAGTTCAGTTTTAAGTTATTATTACTAGTTTCTGCACAGAGAATTTTTATAGGAGAAAAATTTCTTCACCTGTTACTGAAGTTCAAGAATTGTACTCAAAACCCATGAGATTCTAACAAACACTGCTTATTTAAAATCTTGTTTGGGTCAGAGCAACATAGCACAGCCACGGTTGTACATAAACATCAGTTTGAGCAACTGGCTATTTTGCCCTCTCCAGTATTCTTTGAACACAAATATTAACAAAACTACTGCTATTTGACTTTTTTAAAAAAAAAACTCAGTATGAGCAATGAATTTGAGTATCTATCAGAGCTGGGGCCAGAAACAGTGACTTGAGTTCTAAACTGTACAGTGATATGCATAAAAAGATGTTGTACACTTTGACATAATAATTTTCCTAGAACATCAGCAGTCAGGTGGAAGTGTTTTACCACCACATGACAGGACGTGTTCTCCAAGCTGGGGCACACCAACCTGTAAAGCTGCAAGGATGCAGGAGCTCCCATGAGCATGGCATGTGGAAGCCCACTGCACAGCATCGTGGCAGCTTTCATCAGCTGCCTCTACAAGATACTCTTTCCAACTCTCTGTATTGTCTGCAAATCTCAGCAGGTTAAACCTGAGGAGAAAGATGACCCAAAACATTTAACCAATACAATGAGTCACTTTGGATAAGCCAGTTTTGAAATAAGTAGATAAATAAAATTAAAAAAACCCCAGACCAAACATAAACACAAACCCAACAGTAAAAAAAAACCAATCCCAACCAAACCCACTACCAAAGAGCCTAGTGTTGGATGAAGATCTTCAGCCTTGGAAGAGTCAAAAAAGTTTGTTTGCTTCACATAAAGAGAAAATCTTTGGCAATGCTGAGCCCAATAGGGTAAACATCAGCCTAGAGCAGAGGCTCAGATTTTAGAGAGTTTAGAACTTAAAACTGGTAAAAGCAACAGAAAAAGCAGGTCTTATCACATGCACATTATACTCTAACATACAATAATTACTTGAATTGTGTTTCAGTGCTGTATTACTGTAATTATTAAGCAATCTGATTACATAAGAATGAGTGCAGATTTCAGTCTTTATCAGTAATTCACCATACCTGACTTCATTTTTTCTCAGCTGTTCCCAGATAAGGGAGGTAAGTTCTTTTGTGACAGATGGCAAATATGGGCCCATGGAACCAGACGTATCAACCAAAACACAGACATTTGCTTCTAAAATGGTACCAAACAATCGTCGGCTTCCTGGGCCAGAACATTAAAGCTAATTAAGAGTTATTACACAGGCTTATTTTATTGAGCATAATGTAAATCCTCAGTCTTTAGGGGTAATTCTGGGCACATTTCTACGTAATTAAGTGTAATCTATGTGGCAATTAGGTAGTTAAAAGGTTAACAATAGAAAAGTCTTTGGCCGTTTCAAAACTAGCACTATCAAGCATTAATTACCAGTTGTAGCAACTTGCATTAAATAATTTGCAGCTCCTTTGCAATCCAGAAAAAAATTAAAATGTTTCCCAACAAAGATCTTTATGAGCAACAGAACGATCAGAATAGCCTTCACCAGTAGTAATGCTGAACTTCTAAGCAGGGCTCATTCTTAGCAAAACATGCAGAAAAGCTAATTTTGCTTGTATGTGTTACTGTGTAGATTCTGTTGATAGAAAGTTTCTGCTCTGTATTCACAAACACACAACGACCAAAACTTCATTATTTGTTAGCAAGCGAGATGTTTATCATCTACACAGACGCTGAAGTCTCTTGTATTCACAATAATAAGTTTTAAACTTTCAAAGAAATGCAAGACAGAGAACCCTTATTCACACTGGAGGTTCAGATTTACATTCAGATCTATTCTACCAGAAATAGCAGACCAGAATGTTTTTCTATATTTAAGTTGTGCTTTACAGAAAGCCAGAGGCACACCAATACCTGAGAGCAGCCACTGCACTCTCTGCACGTAGCGCTGCAGCACATTCCCCAGTTGTTCTGTGTAGCTTTCCAGTTCTTTAGGGTGAAATTGCAGATGTTTCACAACCCCCTGAAAAAAAATTCAGTTTGTACAAGAGCATCTTACTTCAGGGAATCTGAACTCAGCTACTATATATACAGTGTTGGCACTGGACATCAGGGAGATTTTTGTCTTTACATCTATGAAATATGGTAAGAAAAATTCTGTGACTCTGTTGCTTGCACTTAACTTCCTGTGCTTCTCCTCTATTGTTACACAAACCGAATCAAGATCCAACATTTTTCCAGTTTCAACTCAAACATGATTTTGAAAAGTTTTACTTAAATTTTAAAAATTATTTTTCATACTGTATGAGCAGAGGAGATGCTACATATTCTGAAGAACATACAGTTTGGACTTCTAACATGCTAGATGGATTTTTATGGTGAATAAAAGACCTTCTCTAGCTTGCTAGTGGAAGTATGATATAGAAAGAACAGGGAAGAGTGGAGAGAACATCACACTAATAAGCCAGAAACATCAATCAACATTCACTAAACAAATACAAAGCCTTTCAATAATGTAAGTACCTCACATCTGCAAAAACCTACATTGATTTCTCTGCTGGGGAAGATAGAACAGTATTTTGCTGATACTTTCTTGTGCAGACACTCCACAGTTTTCTTCTGGTGGGTACAGTCAAACATCAGTCTGGACAATTCCAGTTTAAGCTTTTTAATACTATACTTGGTCAGCCACTTGTAAGACAAACAAATAAAGCAATTGATTGTTGGCAAATTTTAGAACAGTTTAAGTAATAACACATTTCACAGAATCTCAATTAACATTTACATTAATTCAGATGGATAGTTCCAAAATGGCAATTTATTAGTAAGGAGAAAAATACCTCTTTGCTTGAACAGATTTCCTCTTCCTTTGGCAATGTGACAGAGCAAACAGATTTTCTTATGTGCATTGCCTTTGGATACCTCTGATATATTGTACCTATTTAAGAAAAGAACAAAGTACCTAAAAGAATCACTTATTTTAAAAAAATTGTCACCTTCAAAAATTTCCAGACCAAATCTTCTGTAATCAACTAAACCACGTTCACAGTGCTTTTCCTTGGAGCACCTTCGACCAAAAGATTCCAAGGGACTTTACAAAAGAAAAACCCAATTAAAAAAACAGGCAAAAAGTGCCACCCACCTGTACCCAAACTAAAAATCCTTACCACTATTTGTAAGTGAAACTCTCTCTCACTGTTCAAAGCACACTGGTTATGAGTGACTCATATCATGCTGCCAGTTTTATTATAAAAGTGCTGATAATAAAAGGGCTTCATCCCATCCCGATAACACATACCCACATTTCTTCCTTCTTCAGTGTAAAATACAGACACAGAAAGCTCTGCCTGCTTCCTGGGTTTGTGCTTTCCTTTATTCTCAGTCTGAGGCCATTCTTTTACTGTTTGTGCTACAAGTAAATAACAGATTACAAAACCCATTAATTTAGCTCAGCTGGATAAAACTCCTACATGAGAAGAACTCAACCCTGTTCTTCTCTTCATATATTCCTATTACCACAATTATAAATGCTTAATTTTCTTTGATACTGCTTAAGAAAAATCATATTACAGCACTACTTAAGAGGCTTTTATAGAAATTAAACTTTTCCATATATAGACATTACCATCAGGAAGAATGTCACAGGTGTTAGTTTGAAAAAAATTAGGGATTTGAACAAGCATAATATTTGTTGGAGAAATGAGTTAGCTTTGTACAGAGCACCTCAGATGCAAATATGAATCTAGATTTGTAAACACTACTACATGTCAACATCAGTAGATTTGAAGACTCAAATTTAATGTAAAGAAAAATAAATTGCAAATTTTAGCAATGATACAAAGAAAAAACACAGGAAAAGTTTTATAAAATAGAGGAGAAAAAAATTCAGCTTTAAGGGACCATCAGGAACTGGAAGTTTAAAAGCTTTTCATATACCAGGAGCAGTTGTAAGAGTTAGCACTTCAGACAACCTGACATTGGTGTTTAACTTCTCCTTCATTACTAGATCATAAATAAATCAAGTGGAGCAGGATATTAATTAAAATGGGATCTAACAGATTTCAGGTAATGTATACATTGACCTAATAACATAATAAATGTCTGAAATGCTGAGCATTACAGCTTCAGGTATGGAACACAGTGGATTCCTACTTTCCATCAGACACATTTGACATTTCCTGATAAAGGTCAGATATTCAGTCCTAGGACCTGGAAATCATTGCACAGCTGTGCAGAGCTCCTTCCCTGAACAGTGTGGAAACAAATGAGAGAAATTATTCATTCCAAAGGAATTCCACGATGGTTCCTAGAAATCTGATTACAGATTACAATTCTGGGTGTTTCTAAAATCCTAATTTAAATACTGTTTTTTAAGCAAAACCCAAAGGCCACTGAAGACAAAAAAATCCCCTATTCCATACAGACCTGGTGGAATTCCTGCTCTGGCACTAGGAGGACGCCATGCCACTACTCTTACACGAGTATTTCTCTCTGCACCATGGTTGTCTTTAACATCTTTCAGTACCTTTAATAACAGAAAAAAGTAAAGTTTCAGCTGGATCATAGCTGCATTATTCTAACCTGGAACTATGTTTCTTTATTCTTTAATTCCTGTTTTACTATGGCTTTGACAAATCCACAGACTGACATGACAACACATTAATTTGCAGTTTCTTGCTGGGTTAAGTAACTCTAATTGCTCTGCTTCAATTATCTTGCCAATATAATTTGTTACCATAAACCTGAAGACTAACATCTACAGGGAGAGGAGTTTGGACCATTTTTGCCACCTGAAGGAGCAGTCTAGTATGGTAATGGCCTTGCTTTATAGAATACAGTATTTGGTATCTTCCTCAGCATTTTATTGACTATTGAAAATCTAGTGCTGACACCAGTAATTTTTCTTTTGGGTTTGGCTTATCCCTCTAGGGTCTGAGCAGTCTGCTAAACAACAAAACACCTGTTTAACCCTGCTGTAGGATAAGACTTGCTGTGACACTGAGCCTTCAAGCAACTGACATCTAATTTAACATACAGCTCTACTATAAATATCACCAAACATCTACAGACAACCTCGTACCCGTTTTCCAGAAGTTTAATCCCTGCAAAACTATGCTCTATTGTAATCTCTGAGTAATTAGTTTCTCCTGCATTTGTGAAGAGGTGTTGAGGATATGTCACTTGTGATAAAAGAGCCTGGAAAACCTACAAAGCCTTTGCAACATTCCCACACCTACATTCCCATTTCCTACATTCCCACACCTACAATGCCATTCCCAATTCAGAGACGAGAACTGAAAGTTCCAGCAAGCACTGGCATATTACAGATGTGCACACCTACTGAAAACAGATGTATGTCAAAATCAACAAACACTAGCAAAATCCAAAGGGATTCAGTAGTGCAGCTCCATGGAAATAAGCACAGCAGGTAGGAAAACAAATCCTGAATCCTGTTCTTGTTTTATGCTGGCTCTCTGTGAGGCCAAAGATATGCTACTGAGCTGCAGCTGTATCATCTGTAAATGAGCAGAACACCATAATATTCAGTACCTTCCAGAAGGACTTGAAAAACAGATGTAATTTGGTAAAGCACATTTCTGCTTTGCCTTTGTTCCGATTAAACATTGTTTTTAAGGTGAGAGGAAGGATTATTTAGACACCTTTTGACACTATAGTGTAGTTCCATTATAATTAATCACTTAGTATGATGCACTTTTTGGTATATATAGCATTTGAATGCAAACAAAAATTCAAAGTACTATCACAGTGCTGCTCTGATTTCTTCAAATTTTCAGCTAAGCACTTTTCTCACCAAAAGGAGCATCCAATAGCTAGGCAGGATCTTTAATTAACACAGAGCATATTAAAAATGGGACCATTTCAAACCATTCTAGCCAGACTCACAGCTGTGGGTTTAGGAGATGGCACCTTCTGTTTTTTTCTTTCCTCATTCCTCATAAGCACATTAGAGTGCCCTTCTGGTGTGAGTGGTTTCACAGACTGTTTTACTGAGCGTTGCTTTAAGGACTCCACTAGGAATGCACACTGAAATGGAAATCCACATTGTTTAGTAATTCATTTACATGGAATTTAAAGAAATGAGAATTCAAAGACAGGTATTTTGTATTTACTACGATAATAATAAATGAAATTCCTATTTGACCATTATTAACACCTCTGACTGAAGAGAAACCCCTTTATGCTGTGCTTGCACATGCTGTATGGAAATCCTTCCTGCTCTGGGCAAACAGACCAAGGCTAGAACAAATTGGAAGATGGTGAACCAAGTATATGCAACTTTAAATGGTAACAAAATATTTTAACATGTCATTGAATTGCCACCAGCTCTTCTTTTAAAAAAGTTCAACACTAGTGACTCAAACAGGGTACTCAGCCCTCTGGACAAGGCTCTTATTGCAGATCTCTTTCTATTCACACTTTTATAAGAAACCACCACACTGCCAGGCACTTACTGCCTCAGTTATTCTGTTGGATATCTTTGGAAAAAAGTCATGTGCATGGAATATGGTGAGATACAGTCTAGTTCTACACCCTCAGAACACTTGAGAAAATAACTGTTTCAGAATTGACAAAGCCACTGTGCTAATGACAAGCCCTCCCTACATTGGGACTTACAAGAATGTAGTATTATTTATTTGCATATAACATATATAGCTTTATTATTATGAAGAATTAATTCACTTGAAAAGAATTAATTACAAGATTGGCAACAAAAAGGAGAATCACTTGAACTGCAAACTTGTATTTGGTATGGAATCATGGCTACTCCAGCACCAGTCATTGCAGTGCTATTGTGCAACTGCTTTCTAGTCCATATTTACTCTGTGGCCACTATTGTCACACTCTAGAACAGTCCTGCTCATCATAAAATGGTTTTGTCCAATCTCCTGAATTGCCAGCTGAACTAACACTGTTGAATTTTTTCAAGGAAGAAACACGTAATTTAAAGATATACCTTTTGGTATACCATACCTTTTGGGAGTAGTTCTTTGCTTTTTCCATTTCAGATATAATACTGCTAATATCATCACTTTCAAAAATACCTGATAATCAAATAGATGCTAATTAGTGATGAGTTTTTTAAAGTGTGCAAAATAAGTACTTTTCAAAATGTACAACAGTTTGTAAAACATGCTAAATACCAAAGCAGAGAATCAAAAACCCTTTGTTTCCTGAAAGCCTGATCATCTGGACCTACCAATAACTATATTTTAAAGCATCTTTAAAAAGCCTAACAGAAAATAGTGAATTCAAATAGAAAAGAAACCCAAACAAATTCATTCATGGGTGCATTATAATATTTTGCAATGTGATTGAAAGTCTCAATAAAACTATGGCCTGTGTTTATATCTCAGTCCTAGTACAGCATCAGCATATCTTAAAAAAAGTCAACTACTTGACTTGAGAGTAAAAAAGCATTAATGAACATTATTTCAATAATGAAAAACAAGTGTGTGCTGACTTTCCTTTGTCCATACCTGCTTCTCCAAACCAGTGAAACCTCCCATTGCCTGCCTGTACAATTTCTTTGAAAGCACTGGCAGTTTCTGTTGGGTTGGCATAGCGGGCTGGAATAATCCCACTGGAGTCAGTGCCCTTTGTCACACTGAACAGACAGACATGCAGCTGCAAATCAAAACCTCTGCAAGCCTCAGCCACATAAGCACTGATTGTGTGCTGTAAGACAGGAAAGAAACATCAGGGGTGAGCCTCTTCCTCAGACAAGCTTCCATCTACTCCACTGGGTCCTGACTGATGTGTAAATCCTCTCAGTTGGAGCAGTTCAGCACAGGAATCTACCCTGAGCAGTCCAATACCTCCTCAGTCCATGCAGATACACAACTACTGTCACTACTGCTGGCCAGCTACAGCTCTACTGCAGGCAAGAGGTGAGCTGGGGTAAATCTGAGAACCAAAGACAGATCGTGCACATCTATTTAGCTGTGCATTGAAGCAAAGAAGGGATGAAAATGTCCATTTGTCCCTCATTTTCTTGTCAGCCATACCGGCTTCAATGATTTCTTAGGTCTGCCCAAAACTTCTAAAGGTTTGGTAACAAAAGCAGGAGACACTTCACTGCACACATGTAGAAACTCGAGGTTGTGCAGATTAATGGTCACAGAGCACATTCACTACACACAAGGATCCAAGCAAGGGATTACTGGGACAAAGACAGGAGCTGTCTCTACACAGCGTGCTATGGAGTCCCACTGGAAAATTATTTGTGTCTTTGTTCCCATGAGTTGTACAGAAACGATAAATTTAAAAAAATCAGCTTGTTCAAACTCAGAAATCTGAAGTGAAATGATGTCCAGAGCTGGAGTGGGAAAGGAATCCTAAAAGCACATCTTGAATTTTCTGTAATTCACACATAATTAATAATTGCTACCTTCAATACATGACTAACAATTGAAGAAGTGGAAGTTTGGGATCCTGACAGTCGTGCTACCTTAGGTAAAGGAAGAATATTCTGCCAGTGAACTGTGATGACTGGCCATAAGGGGAAAAAAGAGACAGGAAAAAAAAAGAGAAAAACAAAGTTGAAATTAGTTTTGATAGGAACTTAGAGAAAAGTTGTGTATGACAACACTCACTGTTTCCTGGTCTGGTATTCCAGTGGTCAGCAGGTAGAGTCCCTGTGATTTGTGTTTATCTTTGTCTTTGAACTCAATTTCCACAGCTCTTCTGAGTGCACTCAAGACATTTCTACTGCCCTTGCACTCCAAGCTCAACACCCACCTAAACCAAGATGTTTACAGTTCAAAGAACAAAGAAACAAAAGCCTGTTTCTGCTCAAAGTAATAAAGATAACTAAGTATCTTAAATAACACTGCACTGGTGTCTAAAATGTTTGAAAATTACAGAGACCAAAACCTAATTATATAAAAAATTATTTGTTCTGGTTTCTGTATTGCCAGCATGGCAAACTAGTTTTTAAAGTAAGATACAAAGCATAAAGAGGAAACAATTCTCTCCTAATTTTATGTGGAAAAATATTAACATAGTAGAACTTAGAGAAACAGAAATGAAACAAGTGGTATAATGAGAACACACAAGGTGTGATTCCACAAATAGAAACCTGGGATTTTTTTCCAAAGCATATGGGAAATGCCCTATTGCTTAGCTCTCACATCCCAGTTGTATTTGAATTAGTTTTCAATTCTTCATGTAACCTGTTCACTCCTTACACAGACACTTCTGTATCTGTGTACACATATATTATATATACATAGGAAACAGAAAGTCACCAAGCTTACTAACTTTTACAATGCTTTTTTCACAAGAAACCACTATGAACAATCAGTGTGGAACATGGCAGCTTATTTTTGCAACACGATCAACTTATATAATTTTTTAGTTGTTTGCAATTTTTCTTTGTGAAATTCACACACACGGGATAATTATTTGATCCTACCTCCAAGCCTTTTCTAAGTTTTCTGGTTGGGAAGGAAGGAGTTCCTGCTGCCAAGGCACAATGTCACTCCCAAATCTTTCACAGAAAGGTAACAGCAATTAGTTTTCAGATTGTGGTTTAGAACAAGCAAAAATATAAAATAAATTCACTGAAGAAGAAAAATCTCATTTGGGGTATTACAGACATAAAACTGCCCAATGCCAGCTATTTTCTATTTCAAACCATTTATTTATCCACATTTATCTATCACCCAAGGTTTGTTTGATTTTCTTTCCTGAACAGGATCCTACATAAGCTGGGAAAAGCTCAGTGGAAGGATTGTGAAAAAGGAACTCCAACCCTCAGCTGCTGCCAGTATCTCTCTTGTGAGATAAGGGCTCTGTTCCCACACCATGTTAGGAACTCCATGAGCTTCTGGCTCCTACTTTTACCTGCCAGACACCTGCCCAGCAGCTGCTTAGCTGTTGTGCCACAGATTTCTGCCTGACAGTGCTGAGTACAGAATTTTAACAGTAATATATTAAACAGTATTGGAGTCACTAAAAAATTTAAAAAGTGCTCTCAGTTACAGTACCTGAGACATTAAAATCCTCCTCTGATAAGTTTCTGACAGGTGAATTTATACTGTTATACACAATGTAGCAGGATGAGTATTTGTTACAGGTATGATGCAATCAGTTCCAGTGACCCTCACCCAAAACAGTGGTTTTTAATTACTAATCTGGTCTCCATACATCTGATTCATGCACTCAACCCAATAAGGACCAATCAGTGCTAGACTTGCAAATACTTCCTTAAAAGACATCAAATACTAAAACACACTTATTAGTAACTACAATCTCTCAGCATACCTCTTTCATTGCAATGCATTACAGTTATTTTAGCAGACTCTTGAGTAGTTACTTACGCTATAATATTGAAGGAATCCTTATCTGACATTTGCTCCTCAAGTAAAAGTCGCAAAGAATGTTGGATATGAGAGATGTAGGTAGAGTTTGTCACTGATATATCAACAAGTATAACCACCCTATATAAAAAAAATGCTATTCATTAAAAAAAAGAGAAAAGTCTTATGTATTCTTACCTTCAGTACACTCTAACTTGTCAGGGAAAGTATCTTCTACCTATGTATCACAATGTATAAACACTGAATCTATATTTTTAAAAGATTCTGCAAAACATTAGGTGACATTTAAAAATAGAAACAGGAACAGTAATGGAAACTTCTATCTTTCCTAAACTATGGAATAATCATAGTAATTGTAGTGCCATAATGGCTTCTGAACCCCAAACTGCTCCTCCTCCTCCTCTGTACTCGAGTATCTAAAACCCTGCTGGAATGTGTGGATGTTTGCCAGCAAGGAGAGTTGTTGGATAGTTCACTGTCCTTTCCCAGCCAACACTCCAGGAATATGTGGAATATTACTCCAAAGACAAACAGTTAAACTTTCTCTCAGCTCATCAGTGCCAGTGGTTGCTCAGGTATGGACTGACTGATGTTATTGAGCATGTTGCCTATTTAGAGAAAAGTGTTAATGAGGAGCTGCTCAGCATGGTCAGTTTTATGTCTTGCTTACAGAGACAATGCAGGATGGTCACACTTAATGGACAGGGAATAATTTGGGAGCAGTAGTTTTGAAAAGACCACAGATGTGATGGACAGTCAGTGGCATGTGAGTTCCCAGCACAACACAGTGGCCAGATGGGCTAATTCAATCCTTCATCAATGAGCAAGAAAATCTATAGTAACAGGTAGCCTCAGCTACCTTCCTTTTGTCTGAAACTCTATGGTCAAGGTTTGTCAACAGGAAAAAGAGCAAATGTGCAATTGAAGTTGAGTAAGGCCTCAGACAAGATGTAAATAAACACTGTTCTCAAACACATTAAAACTTCAAACCTCACAAAAAAACTCCCAAATCAAATACAATACCTTCTTTCATACACACTTCCCCATATTCTTCTGCTAGCAACAGATAGCCAGTCAATTCGTTTCTCATAGATTCTTACCATTTTAGCAAGGAGCTTCTATGCATAAATAAAGAAAATTTATGTTAAAAATAAAAAGTTCAAGTCTTTTATTGCCAAATGCTTAATACAGAAATAACATTAACAGTATAGTTATGAAAAAATATTTTAATTCATTTAGATAGCAACATTTCATTCTTAGTACAGATATGAGAACACAGTCCATTAAAAAAACATACTGTGATAAAAAAGAAACAAAGAATCTAAAGGTCTCTATCTCCACTTCACTTTTCCTCTTGCCACCATGTTCCAAAATGGTGTTTGGGCATATCAACAAAAGAAAAAAAAAAGAGCTTTAAAAATACAGTTTTTGCAAGCTTACCCTTTCTTCAATAGCATTTTTAGGCAGCGTTCATAGCAAAATACATAATCTAACAAACACAATATTCTCAAACACACCTAATTCTTTAACAGTATCAGTTTGATATTGAGGCAATTTGTCCAAACTCTACACACCATGAGGGCTTATCAAGCTAGAAAAGGGCCTTAAACTCAGAACTATCATTTAGCATGCTTTAGGAGCACAAAACACAAGCATCTACCAGTGAGCAAAGAGCCACAGAGGCTCCATTTCAGCTACTTCACACCCTCCTGGCTGTAGAGCTCCACAGACTTCACATCACTCCCACTTCAATGAATTATCTGCCCTGCCTGGAAACAGTCTCATAGTCCTTTGTCAGGACTGCCAGTGAAGTGGGAAAGAAGGACTGACAGACCACTATACAGCAAACCCTGGTTGCAAACATCCCCAGACAGCTTCTCTTTCATTAAACTTGTCCCACTTGATGAGCTGCATTCTGATCTAGGAGGAAATCCTCAAGAATCACTACTGCCTGCAGGAATTCCAGTGGCTGTAGACTTACATGGGCAACTGTCTGCACATGAATCCCTGCAGTACTTAGCTAACAAGACAATTAATGAGTAATAATTAGGTGGTAGTCTAGCCCTGACAAGGCCACATCACAATAGACAACTCACCTGATAGTTGTACAATACTGGCAGGTCAACATGGATATTTTTTACAGTTCCATCATACCACTCAAACTGCATCATCACTTTCTAGAAGGATAAATAGAGTTAAATGTTTACAGAACCCAACATAAGATAGACTAACATGGAATTTCTTCCTGAGTTATTCTTAGGAATGACATTAAATATTTGAGTTGAATTTATGACTCAAATACCAGCCTGTAGAATTTCAGCTAACTTATAAAGTACTGATTTAAATTAGAAAAATGTAGCAATAGAAAGAAAAAAACCTCACAAATCCAGGGAAAAAAGTTCCTCATCACTTGCCTCATGTAGAGTTGATGATACTGTTTTTTTAAGAATAGGTACAAAATCTTCCACAGGAGAGAAGGCATTGGGAGCCAGAACTTGATAGAGGTCTAACTTTTTAGCTTTAGGAAAAAAAAAAATTAAATGAAACACATACTCTGTCTGTAATTCATGTTTCATACCTGTGGAGCTTTTCTTTCTGTGCTACCTTTCAATCCATATGTCTTTAACCAGTCTGCTGAGGTTTTGCCCAGGATGCCTGGTGTTTGAATAACTAATGGTCCTTTGTGCTTTGGAGGCTTTGGGAAGAAGCTGGAAGGTTCTGTATTTGCAAATGCTGTAGAAACCTAAAATGGATTTCAAGAAGAGCTCTTGCAAGTTTTTAACATTATTTATTTTTACCCTCAATTCAAAATATCCATCAGGAAATCCTGGTGAATATGATTAAAACTAAAGTGCTGGGATTCCAACAAGCAAAATGCTTTACAGAATCTTCTAAGTAATCTTAGAGTGACTTCTGCTCCATAGGTAGTCTACACAGTCCTTAGTAACCATGAGGTTGGAAGAGAAGAGAAAAAAAAAGGGCACAACATAGGAAGGATTTAAATGTCCAATGAAATCACACAGGTGTAAGTATCTTTTCACCAATTTAAAGGACTGTTGGAACTTCTTTTATATGACTGTGCATAGAGTTAAGCTAGTGCTCCTCAGATACCCATTACCATCACAGGAAATTTTCTTTTCATGCATTTTGGAGAATATTTAGCAAAATATCTCCTTTAATCATTTTTTCCTTAGTTTGCTCTTACAATAGATGTTTAAGAGAGAATATTCACATATCAAAGTTCACATATCAAAATACCTGATCAATCATACAATTTTTTTCATATTGTAGACACTTAAAATTTCTAACCTTAATTATTTAAAGTATATCTGAAAATAAAAGGATACATACATCTGCTCTTTTACTACCAAGCAAGTCACCAACTCGTCTTTGAAAAGTCTGTTTGATGCTCTTGAGTAAGTCCTTAGCCTTTTGGGATTCCTGAAGTAACAGATGAAAATCACTGCTATCAAAATTCTGCAATTATAAAAACAAATGGGGAAGAATTCTGCAATTATAAAAACAAATGAGGAAGAATAAGTTAACTACTGCTCAAACACCAACTGAAAGCAGCTTTCTTACTTTACTGTGCAAACATCAACACGAGACTACCTGGCATAGCAGAATTGAGTGTGTATGTATCTAATGCTCTGCATATAAATCAGTAATCATTTATAAACAAGATATTATTTATTACTTTGAATCACTCTACAGTAAGCCACTGCTTTTATCAGCCATAAGTCAGTAAAAAATAACTGCAAAATTTATTGCATTTTTAGGAAATGTTTTCAGTTGCAGAAAAATTAACCACAGGTTTATTGAGCACATCCTCAGCATTTCTATGACAGAGACTTTCAGCACCAATTCTTATTATCAACTTCTACTCAGGTGATAATTATTTTACCTTCTGAAGTGAAGAATCATCAAAAAGTGAGAAAAATGCTTTGCCTCTCTCCCTGTCACCTACCTCTCCCTTGGAAGAGTAGCAATGATAACAGCCTCTTACAGCTTCTGCAAGGTTCTTTAGAACTGTCTACATATAAAAATAGGAAGAGAAACAGTTACTTTGATTTGATAGACTCTTTTGATAATGTGGGTTGTTGGTTCAGTTCTCAGTAGAGACAGAAAAAGAATATTTGAGATACATGTAGTGAGAAAGCCACAATAATTATGTTTCCATCATTTGCTTACCATTTTAATATGGCTAAAAAACTAACTCAGTAAAGCAAGTTACAAGATGATGCTCCAAATAATTTTTTCATGTGTGCAAATGTTCTCTGAAGAGAATACAACACTAATTCAAGAACTCTAATGATTAGGTTAGCTTCCCCACAAGTTTATGAGAGAAAGCATTATAGCTGAAGAGGGAAAAACATGACAGGGCACTTAATGAAGTTAAGTATTAACACAATTACTTACAAGAGAAGCAGGGTTGCTGCAATCATAGATAACAGTGTGAATCTGCACTTTTCTCCCCAGTGTACACTGCTGAGTATAATCACATAATATTTCAAAAGACTGATCAGGGCTGATGAAAAAAAGTAAAGAAAAAGCATATTAACAATGGCAGTAATCAAATGGGGAAAAAAAGGCCCTGCTGAAGAAGATGTGGAAGAAAACCTGGGAAAGAAATAATAAATCATGGGAATTATTTAGGTATTTAGCATTATCATACTTTTGGAGGCACCTTCTCTCCCTCTTTCATCCATTACTGAGATGTCACTGCTGGAGTTTGGTTCTATCCTAAAAATCTGAATGATACCAAACCCACTAGGATTCTATTCCCATTCATAACAGCTTGTGAATGAAATGTTCTGAAGTACTTCCTGCTGACCCTGAAAGCTAAAAATCAGGATTTGTGGCTTTGGCCTCTGTGATAGAAAACCTTTCAACTCTGGTATGTAAGGATGTACTCTATTTCCACAGGCAACAAAGAAAGTAAAGCTTTGCTTTATGTTTAGAACTTAAGTGTCCCACACAGCTTTCATTTCCTGAGCTCTGATAGCTAGTAAAAACCTTTCCTTCCAGCTACACTTCTGTCAAGGACAGAAATTAAGGATTTTTTCACATAGTAGGAACTTCTGTTTTCTGTTCGGAGCAGATCTAAGCATAACTTGGAACCTTGTAACCAACACTATGTGTTCAATAAGTTTGCTGAAATTTAAGTTCAATTACTCTAAGTATCAATCTTGCCAAGCTTATACCATCCATTTTTGCACAATTAAAATTGAATACATTTAGTAAACTAGGGCTAAGGCAACACTCCTAGAATCCTTACTGTAGTCTTTTCCTTGTAATCCCAACTCCAATATTGCAATTTTCAAAGTATGACAATAGAATTGCAGAATTTAAGTCCATAGCTGGATATGGATAATTTCATCTGGTTTCATTTATTTAATCAGACATTTTAAGTTCCCCATCAGCACTACTAAGATCACAGAGAGAAGAATCTTTGAATGCTGAATGCTATTTTATAGCAAAATCTATCTTATCCTCTTATCTTCCCAGAAGTGTGGAATTCTTTCAGTGACATCTTTAATGACATTTAATTGAGGTAAAATTAGAGCTAGCAGACTCTCAGTAGATTACTGTGATAAGTGATCTGCAAAGGAAAAACAGCTTCATACCAGAAAAGAGAAGATTTATAAATAGTAAAAAAGGGAAGAAGTAAAGGAATTCAAAAGTATAAACTAAAAACATGTAATACACGGATCTTGAATTTTGTATTTATTTTTGTATTCAGTTCAGTTTCTTGTACCAATTCTGCATCCAAGTTATATCTGGTTGTTAAAACAGTTAATGAACTTACCAGCTTCCTACAATAAGGACCAAGGAATTCAGTTCTTTCATTGGAAGGACATGCCTTAAGGCTTTCAGCAAGTTGCAGCCTCGACCAGGCTCCAGCTCTTCTATCCACTGTCTTACTTCACGTAGCCTAGGAGAGGGAAATAAGAAAAAGAATATTTAGGTGCTAAGTAAGATAGATCACAAAGATTACTACAAACCACAGGAGCAGCTAAGATATTTTATACGTGAAAGCCATCTTGAAAACACTGACCACAGGTCAAATTAATTACTTTTTCTCCCCTCTAATAATCACTGCAGACACAAGATGGAAAACACTATTACCTACAAGACACTGCTCAAATGAAATAGAGACCTTGTTTGAAACACCTTGATTTTTCAGAGAAATTAACTTACTTACACATGAACATTGATGGTTTTTGGACTCTCCCACAGTGGTGAAATTTCTGTACTGAATGAGAGGCAGTACAATTGCTTCTTATAACAAAGCTGTTCATCTATTAAGCACTAATAAATAAAAAATTATGAATGCATTACTATCCATGCTGCTTCTGGTAGGGTTATTATGTAAAAGACTAAAAGCAGTTATTTCCTAAAAATAGTTACAGCAATATTTTCAGCTACCACTAAGAAATAAAAAAAAAAACTCAATAGAGATTCAAATATTTGGTAAGGATAGAGACAAAATCTGCAAACTTATGGCATTCCAACTAATTTGTTAATGGGGCAGGAGGCACGGATGTTTGCTGTACTGGTACCAGTTTTTCTTTTCAGTTGATGGCCACATGAAACAGCAGTGATCTAAAATGCACATATTCACCTGCCAGGCAATTCCTAAAAAATGGTTAGCACATAATCATGAACAATAGCTCAGATATTCAGGCTAAGCAAACCAGATGATGTGGAAACTGAGTTTTCTTGAGGGAGTTTTATTTGACACACACAAAAATAATATAAATTGATGGTAAATAATTTCTGAATGTGAAAATGGAATTGTACCAATTCTCAAATACAGACAACTAACCAGCTAAATTATATCTTCCTTCCTTACTGCAAAAGTTTTCTAAAAACAAAAAGGACAATAAAGGACAAGTTTCTTTTATAAAGACAGAAAATTATTAATTCACCAAGGCTCTGACAAAAACTGTGAAGTGGGTCTTACTGTGACAAAACATTAACTTAAAGGAAACTGTATTTACTATAAATATCTCTATGTACAATTTGGCTCTACCTCTTACAACTGTTTTTGTTAAGCAAGTTTATTCCATAGAGAATGTTGATAGAATTGAGAAAGTTTAACAATAACACTTCCCTTAATAATATTTTGAAGTATACTGGATGTGTTTTGATCTGGACATTAACAAAAACTACACTTTCAAAGACATTTGGAACATACTTTTCTACAACAGAATATTTCTATTCTATTGTATATTAGGATTTTAAGTGGATTTTTTTTCTATTTGGTTCCTGGCTTCTAGTTCCACAAAAGCTTGATTAGTATGTTGAAATCGGCAAAATTTGCTTTACATACCAAAAGGTTCTTCTGAAAATCCAACAGTCTAGGTCCATAACTCAAATGAGACACATCAACCAAAAGTCCAACTTTAGTTCCTTTTATAACACCAAACACCTTAAAAGATAAAAGTCTCTCTAAATATTAGTTGATCTACAGTTTAATAATTTTACTGTTTATTCTGTACAACACAATTTTTTTATCAAGTATCAGGTATTTATTTTTAAATTAAAACTTTTTAGCATAAAGATGTGTACTTTTTAGCACAGTGACAAAGCCAAGGAAGAAAAGAAGAAGAAGAAGAAAAGAGAGTCCTACTCCAGTTAGGCTCCCAGTTAGTCCTTACTAGTGAATCATATTACCTTCTTCCCAAGACGACTTATTCATTACTTGAGAGGATAAATAAAAAAATAACTGTCCCCTTCAGGTTAAATTAAGTGGTTTGTGGAAACCAGATTTTGGAATGCTGCTTCTTTCCCTATTCCCTTCAAGAGGGACAGTGTGATGAAGCAGCTGGGTAAGAGTGTGCACAGTGCACAACTACAAGACAGCTCCACTCCAGGCAGAGGTTAAGCTCAGCATTGTCTGCTCCCATTTAAATTGTGCTGAGAGGACCTGATCACTAAGACTGCAAAGAGAAAGGAAAAGACTAAATCTAGAAAGCAGAAAATTGCATAGCAATGAAAGGTCAGGAAAAACTGTCAACATCACTGCATATGATGTGGAACTTGTGGTAAATAATGAAAATACAAAGGCTTTCTGGAAGCCACTTTTCACTACTATTCAAAAGTTAATTTAGTCTTTAATGCCATGAAGAGTTTCATTCTAAAAGTACACTGCAAAGTTTAAGTTACCTTTCTGCTGTCCTGCAAGAGCCACTGAATTCGGTGCTGATAGAGTTCAATCACTCTGACAAAAGGCAGAGCACACATTTAGCTACAGCATTCTCTCACACTGGCTTTCAATGTAACAATCAACCACCTGTCTTCATCATATCCCTTTTCTCACAGATGCAAAAATCAGTGAGAAACAGGTATTTTAAAATATGTTAAATATTTTAAAGATGCCCTTACACAACTGGTAGTTGCAGGGCTAACCTATTAAATACTTCTTTCCCTATAGCAGAACAGCTTCCAACAGTTTAATATCAAAATAGTTATAACTTGAGGTAAAACAAAATGCTTTCTGTCCTCTAAAATTGTTTTACTTTAACCAATGGATTTTTAATTCCATGCACATAGTGTCTACAAGTTAGCAAACAGAAAGCTTAAGCCAACATTTTAAAGGGGAAAATCCATTTTACTTTTTCAGAAGAGAAAAGCTGTTTCTGTTTTATAAAAGCCTGACAGTGAGGTATGCTGAAATGGCAGCACTCTTATCAATTGTGAAGATTATTCTACAGCTTATTGAATCTATGAATTAACTTACATAAGTTTCCGTGATTTTATACATTTAAAATTCACTTAGAATACTTTCAACTTTCATGTCACAACTGCATCCATGACTTGAAGCTAATCCAAATCAGACCAAGTATAACCCCCAGCTACAAATATGGAAATGTTACATATGGAAACCTGACCATGCACTGGCTGCCTTTCTGACATGAGCAAATTGCTTCACATCAACACCTCGTTGATAAGCATCTTCCTTAAAAAATCCCAAACCTCAGTTATAGTGACATAAAATTATCCCTTACTCTAAATCTCAGCAGAAAGGATTTAATGTTGAGATACTCTGAAGTGCTCAGAGATAACAAATTAGGATTTAAGGCAGCACCTGCAGTAATGGAGATACAGAATCAGTTACACATCAAAACAGTAAAGAAGATGGATACTTACTCAGAAACTCTGGATTCAAAATCAGTAACAATCTCCTCTGTAAACTCCATCTCTTCACCACCATTTCCTGCATTCCTGGAGCACTCTGCATGGTTGACATCAGAGATGCACAGAAGTTAAGAATGACTAGAGAAAAGGCAACGTTGTACTTACAAAATAACATTGCTTTCATTTACCAGATACTCTAATGTTAATTGCAAGCATTGCAAACTGCAGTTTCTTATCAATTCTTCTGTTGTTTGCACCTTTTGAGACTGTGTTTTCTTCATTTGTCCTCCCTACAGATCTCTACAGAAGTGAGAAAAAAATCTACAGGCAGTGTGAGAAATTAAATGTGCTGTTTAAATGGGACAAAAAAAGGTAAGTCCTAAGGAGAGTTGCTGCTAGGCAGTGCATGTCTAAGAACATAATTTTATGTACTGGAACACTCTTTTGAATGTGGAATACAAAGAACAAAAAGCTTTCGCCAGACTTGTGAGGTAAAGGAAGGGGAAAGAGAGTTTAGTTTAGAGCAGAATAAACGAAGACAAGAAATAGAAGAGCTCAATAAAAGAATTTAAAAATAAATACCCCAGTGATTTACCAGAGAAGAATAAAAATAAGCATCTCCCAAACATAACTCAGAGTTTGAGCTGATATATATTGGTTTCTGCCTTTTGGAGGAAAAATGCGTATCAACAGTTGATCTCATTTATTATTTCACCCAATTTGTTCTCAGATTCATCTCTGCAGAGAAACTACACACAGTTTCCTGACATGAGTGACCACATCTATCAAACTGTGTATATATGCAATTTTATGTAAGGAAGCATCTTAGTTGCCTATCATTTTATTTATTCCCCACTACGAATTTATAGTGGGTATGCATTACTGTACTACTTGCTCCATTTTGTAGGAAAACTCACCTACCAGCACATCTTGTGTCTTGCTGCTATGTGTTCCCAACAATCCATTATCTGGTCCTAGATGAGGCACAACAAAATCTTGCCATGGTGGATGATCACCCTGTAAATGGAATTTTGTCAGTCTAAGAGACAATAATTTTATGAGGGCAATTCATTACCAGTAATATTCCTGTATTGTCATAAAGTAATTTCAAATTTTCTTCTGTAGGAACTGTTCTATACTTCAACAGTTGTTTAAGCATTTATTTAATATATGATGTTTTGCAGGGATATAGTATATACTTTATATGAACTATAATTTATTTTCTATCTACATATGAAGTCTCAGCTAGACTTAGTAACAGTTTCCTCACCCAATTTTTTCCAAATATTGATCATTGTGCACAACACCACCATTTTCCTGATGTGTGGATCCATTATATGAATAGACTTAGTCTTGTTAAAAATAAAAGTAAAAAGACAGCATTAGAGCAAAAAAGTTAAAATCCTCAGGAATAAACACTGTTAGAAAGGTGTTAATATTGTCAGCAACTTAAACGATAATTTATATTGTATGTGGGACAACAGCAAACTAAAAAACAAAGAGAAGTGACAATTATACATTTATAGAAAACACATTTAGGAACTATTCTGCAAGAGCTGCTTGTTAAGGGATTTTATGCAGTCAATTATATGTGTGCACAGCTGCTGGGAGACCGGCTCCAGAGCTCAAGCAGAAAAAGAGATTAACCACAGCAATCCCCAGAGCGGCGGCGGGAGCTGAGCCAGCCGGGCAGGCAGCGGCTGGGCGAGCTGCCCTCGGTTTAGGCGCGGTACGAGTCAAGTAAAAACCATTAAATCCCGATTTTCCCTTGGCTGGGCTCCACCGCCTCCCCCCTGCCCAAGGCCACCCTTGGGATCGCAGGGGTGCCAGCACAGCCCTTCCCGTCCCCGACACGCTCCTCACCTCACGGGGGAAGAGCCCTGGGGTCCCGATCCCGCGCTGTCCCGTGCCTCAGACTCACCGCGCCCCACCGGGGACAGACCCCTCGGCTCCTCCTCCTGTCCGAGACTCACCTGACGGGGGAAAGGCTCTCCCGGGCACCGCGCCAGTGACAGCGACTCCCCAGACTCCCTGAGCACCTCCCGGCACTGCCCCGACCGACCCTTCCCTCGTGCGGGACCGGGAGCGGAGCGGAGCGGCCCGGCCCGGCCCGGCCCGGCCCAGCCCAGCCCAGCCCAGCCCAGCCCGCTGTTGCGGCGTTGCCGGTGGAGACGGGGCCGGCCCCGGCCACCGCTCGCCGCCGCCTGAGGGCGCCGGGAGGGCAGGAGGCGAGGGGTCCCGCCGGGCGTGGGGGGACACCTGAGAGGGGATGGCTGAGGGGACACACCTGAGGGGACACACCTGAGGGGTCCCGCCGGGCGTGGGGGGACACCTGAAGGGGGACACCTGAGGGCGGGGCGGGATCGATTTTGCAGTCAGTGCAGCCGGAACCAGTCGCTTTAGTAGACAATTTATTTTGATAAACTTGCTCAATAACAAAAATACAAGTGAAGAAAATTATGTTCATTTTATACAGTTTGTATTAACATTTGTTCGGAAATCATTAATTGAAAAAATGCTCTAACCAATAGAAAACAACCCTCAGTAAAGGCCGGGGGGCGCAGGCGGCGGGCACGGCCTCGAGCCCAGGCAGGACAGCCCGCCTGCAGACACCATTTCCTTCATTATGTTCATCCTTCACAAAGGTTTTAAAGGACAGCTTTCATTTTCCTGTGTGTGTGTGTCGGGGCAAACAGGAGCCTACAGTCGTGCTCTGGAGTGGTTAAACAAGGTCTCGGAAACACAGGGACGGCAGGAGGGCCCGGCTCAGGCAGAGGCCGGGGCTCGGAGTGTGGCACTGCCCGTGCCTTTGGGACACTGGCATCGCTCTCCAGCTGCGTTAACAGCGGGAAAACCACGGTAAATGGTCAGGCTGGTGTGTGCTGGAAAGCACACCCTCCCCAGGTTTAAGCCAAACAGCTTCCAGACGATTATTTTCAGCTGAGGTCAATGATAAGATTTATACAGACAAATTTATTAAGTTTTTCCTTCTGAAAGTATTGTCAGTTTCCAATCTTACGTTTTGTTAGCCAAATAAATGATAAAGTGTGCACAAATTACATTATGATGGGGCATCAAACCTTCGGGAGGATTTAGAAGCAAAAGAATAAATGGAATTCTCTAGTCATGTATGAAATGAGCTGTCCTTCAAAAAGTTAAAAAATAATGGCTGGCAGAATCAGAAAAGTTTATGTAAACACTCAACACAAATATGGGATTACCTTTGGAGAAGATTCATATGGAAACATTTGCTTTTCATGAACTGAAAAAGTCTACAGATGTTTAGGCATGTTCAATACGAACTTCCTGTAGTTCAAAACAAAACCTTGTGCAAATAAAACCTATAAATAGTCTTCAGCAGATTTTACAGTGATGCTCTTAGGTATGAAAAGAATGCACACAACTTTAAAACAAAAGTAACAGACATAAGTTTGACAAATGATTGCACCATAAAACAGTGTTTTATATACAGTTTACAAGATATGATTTTCTGCTATAAATTAATACTGTACTATATAGTACTTAGTGACCTTATTAAAAGCAACTGTTGACAGCTGTCTCTTCAATTACTGGGTTGGGTTTTTTCTAAATGCATCTGGCCGCATCTATTTCTGGACTTGAAATGCTCAAGTATCTAATAAATCTATTTGTTAAACCTTTGCTAACACTTAATAATTCATAGCAATAGCACTGGCAGATCAGATCAATTTCCAGTCAGCCAACCACAGTCTGGATAAGCTCCATGAGAAGTGTTTTTGTTTTGTTTGTTTTTAATTATTATTATGATCAATTTAATCAAAGCCTAAATCCACATGATGTTACAATAACTGAAATAAGTAAGTTGAAGGGGTGGGAAGGGGAAAAAAATCTTAGCAGCTGAGAAACTCTCCCCACCCCCCAGCTATGTTCCAGTTACAATAATCTCAAACTATTTACAAGTGTAACATTTCTGAAAACATAATTTATAATCCAAGTTTTAGTGAATATTTTAGGAGAGCAGTGATAACACCAATTTTTTGACACATATCAAGCAGCTGAACCCTGCCTTTTACCTCCACCACTATATCACTAGGGGCCTCAGACTGCCCATGCAGATGGGCATGGATTAAGATGAAGACTTAAATTAGGAAGCAAATTATATTTAAACTGTGACTTCCAAGTAAGTGCTTGGCCGTATTTACAGATTAGTACACTTTGGAAAAATTTAGTGATCCATAAACACTTCATTCTACCTGTGAATGACCTGACTGGAAAAAAAATACTTAGAAACCATTCAAGTGGCAAGTTTGGTCAAAAATTTCAAAAGAAAATATACATCAACAAATGACCTTTTTGTCATGACATCACAAATGGCCTTTAAAATACTTTGGTGGGGGAGAGGGAAGAGATGGAGAAAGGCAAGGACCCACTAAGGTCTGAATGGCACAGAGTTTAAAATAATTGTGCAAACTAATTTTTTGAACACTCCAGCTTACTGGTAAGTGATTATTTTGGAAACTGCTGATTTTATTTTAACATAAATCTCATCCTAAAATGGCTGTCTATTCATTAATGCAGTTCCTCGAGTAAGCTCAATGAAACAGTGCTCAAAACAGACATTTTTTTTTGTTTTTCAGAATGAATCTCAGGTAAACTATGTGTTAACTGGAAAACAAATACTGATAGTGCAGGCAGCTTCCCTGGAACACCAACCTAGTAGTGAATTAAGATGTCTGTGGATTCAATGATTTATCCTTGTGTTGAAAAATAAAACTACTTTTAGTGAGGAATATTTACTCCAAATTTGGGTAGCCATTAAATCTACATTTAAAATAACAACTTTAGTAAACAAGGCATACATTTTTAATTATATTGCTCATTTTTCTGGCAAAGATGAATTAATACTCAGCTGAAACTAAGTTCATCCATCTTTGCAGTGGGATAGTGTTTGCATTACTTTAAACATTGCATTTTATATGTGCTAAAGAAATGTTTACCTATGGTAAAATGCTGTGCTTGAACATGAATGAATGCTAATGTAACAATGCAGTAGAAAAAGAGATTTTCTGTACAACAGTTGCTAATAATGTAAATAGTGTCAGTTTCCCAAAATTAGGATTTTAAGGTATGACATGATCTCACCTTCTACCCTCATATACAAATAAATTACCATAAAAAGAATTTTAGCTTAACTTAAAATTGCACCTAGAAAGGCATGGGATCGTTTGTACCTATTACAAAAAACTGTTAAAATCAAGGGCTGCTACAAAGAATGAGGTAAACTGAAGACTCTCAGCTATGTGGCCTTCAGAAAAATGGCTTTTTTCTATTGAGTTCTAGTTTTGCACACCACAGTGTTTTGCTAGCAAAGCATTCTGAGTTCTTTTCCAGGAATCATTTGTGTGTATATACATATATATATATACATATGTGTATATACACACACACACACATACACACACACTGTATACTGCATCAGCAAAATATATATATATTTATATATATATTTATATAAATATAAGGACGAAATCCCCCTCTAAAATGTTCCTTAGTGTTTCCTAGAGCTTATGGGGGAGCAGGGGATGTATGTGTTTCTGCTGTTACATACATTGAGAGAACATGTTTTGATCTATTGGCTTCTTGGTGCAGTAATGCAAGATTGATCCACATTGGTGCCAAAGGCTTTGCTCATCAGAAGGAAGATGTAAAACACTAATCTCCTAAACAGCGAGGCCAGCCTCACTTGAATTCCTCTGCAACCCTCTGGTCCACCACAAAGTTCATAAATATTTTGACTTCCAAATTGTTAGACGTTAAAAACAGGAGCAGTCCAGTAACATGGGGCGTTATGCTTCTCAGTGTAAAGCATTCTTCACTAGTTCCTATCACAGTGCAGACCTGACTGCATTGAAGTATGCTCAGGAGATTAGTCAACGTGGTCTGTATTTGGTTATGGGAAAGGCTCTCCTTTTTTTCATCCAAAGTGCATAGTGAGAACAAGTCAAAGCATTCCTCTTTTCAGTCAGTGTTTGATAGTATGATTTAGGCATCCTCCTGAGAATGCAATTCTGATGTCTTGCTCTTTTCCAAAATAAAGTCCTGTAGTCCAGACATTCATCAGCCAGGTAAACAAACTTTGCCAGCAAATAGAAGTCCCACTATTGTAAAGAAAATGGATAAGACAAACAGTACATACGAAGACCCAACCACTGTGTTATTGGGTAATTTATATGGTTGACCTCCAACTTCATTGATGTAAAATCCTATTGGAAATATTAGGGCTGCCATACAGAATAGAATCACTGCAAAGAAAAGAGAAAAGAAAAAAACAGTCACTGCTGTGTTAAAGTGAAAA